TATTATCGATATTTCCCCATTTGAAGCTATGATGAAGAATCGATTATTAAGCTGTTCGTTGCCAACATCCTGTTTATCAATCCGTTTCTATAGGTTTAAATGACAGATCAATCGATATATCGCAAATCAGGTTTTCTCGTGAAATTTTCTTCCAGGAACACCCCTTAAAATTTAAAATGTGACGAAATTAACATCTAAATACCCGATAAAACGCCTTAAAACCATATAAAAAAAAAAAAAAATCCAAATTTGCAGCTTTAGTAAAAAATTTCATGTCCGACCTCTCTAATTGATTCGATCCACTGTGCGGCGTTTTTTCTTAGCACGTCAGAATGGACCGTTAACGAGTTGCAAATTCAAGCATTATAATGCACGTTTGCTCTTCAAAATTAAAAATATAACACGATCTGTGCTACGAGTATTAATGAAAAGTAACTCCTTGCAAAAATATTAACGTTTTCCTTTGCTTAAATGTAAACCCCCCAGCCCCCACTCATAAAAAGGTGTAATCTACTTGAAGTAAATCCCAATTATTAAACGTTACAATGACTGTCTCAGCGGTATGAAAGTAAGATAACCTCAATATCGGCACTTCAGTTCTGCTGTTGCATGTTGCATACAACGTGCCAGGCACTTGAACAACTGAACAACACAGAGTGAAGGATGAACACTGCTCGAATGAGGAGCCTACAAAACTTTGGTAAAAAAATCGGTTTTTTATAAATTTTTTATCAGAGGAAGTTTGACAACGTCCAGCGATTTTTCCAAATAACGGAAGAATTGTGACCTTATACAACGCAGGTCTTTATAAGACGTCATCTCTATAACCTAAACAGTGCTGCCGCGTTTAAGAATAATGTCATAGGAGCCTTCAGACGTTGCCAAATTTCTTTTGATAAATGACGGATTCTCAGGGAAATCTGTAAGTATTTTTCCCCCAACTTCTCAGAGGCTTTAATCCGCAGTCAGATCTAAATTATCTGAAACTTTCAAGTGAAAATATCAATAACTCTCTTTATGAATAAACATTTTACTGGAGGAAATTCAGCAACTCTCGATTCTTCATACGGCGTTTTTCCCTAGCACGGCAGTATTTGACAACGTCAATGTGTTACTATGCCGTTCTGCTTCAACTCTGAAAAGTATTTAACGGCTAAAAAACTCCGTAACGCTGAGCTTGGCGTAGCGCTTTCTCCGAAGCCGCGTCTCGGGCGAATGCTAGGGAAAAACGCCGTAAGAGCCTTCAGGCGTTGCCAAGTTTCGTTAGATAAAACACGAATTTCCTGGTGAACCTATACATATTTTTCATCCAATTCTTCATATAATTTTGTTCGCAATTTCTCCTAAAGTTCCTGAAAATATTAAGGACAAAGGCTCATGCTTTCTGGCAAAAATTAACATTTTATGAAAGGGAATTTGGCGACTCTCGAATGTTCATACGGCGTTTTTCCTTAGCACGGCAGAGTAACAAAGGAGCTAGTCGCGGGTCGGCGTGGTGTGCGTCGGTTGATAANGGGGGGGGGGGGGGGTGCGTCGGGTCGAGCGCACAAAAAACGGAGCGGCGCCTGCAACAAGCTGATTAGGCCCCCCGCGTGGCGGCAGTAAAAAAGAGCCGTTCAACCCGCGGCCTACGACGGCGGCCCGCCTCTATGCGTGTAATAAAACTTAACGCCCGACTCCCGGCCCCGGGTTTGACCCTGGAGCCTGTTGAACTTCCTACTCGGGTTGATTGACTCCCCGCTTTGATGGATGGTGCGGAGGGCGGGGAAGGGAGGGGGGTGGTAGTGGCTGTTTAGTGGGAGGGAACTCCATGGAGTTTTTGCTCCGGATGAATCTTCGGCGAACTTGGTTTCCGGTGCTGAGGCGATGCGAAGGAACGCCGGTAAAAAGCAGTTCACGATGTGAATTTGCTCAAAATCTTGTTTTGCCACTCTGCCCTAGTAAGGAAGAACGCCGTATGAACCTTCAAGCGTTGCCAAGTTGCCTTTCATTAGACTTGAATTTTTTAGAAAGCTAATGAAGATTTATCTTCCAATTTTTCAGATAATTTTGCTCGCGATTTTACCGAGAAGTCTTGAAAATTTCAAGAGAAAATATGCATGACGCTCCCGAGAGATGAACATTTTATCGAAGGAAATTCGGCAACTCTCGAATGTTCATACGGCGTTTTTCCGTAGCCCGGCAGCACTAGCCCATCAAATCGGCCTGTTGCGAACTTCAGCTGGAGCAAAAAAAGACATCCACGGTGTGAGTCGGCAATCGCATAGCTCGGTTTGCGACGTCGCAAACTTCCTGTCATAATTTATTTTTTAAACGGAAAACTACTCAACGGCAATTCTTTAAAACTGCCGTGATTTTTCTCTTTGTGCGAAGACAATTCTGCAAAAACTTCAAGGGATGATATCAATTTTTTCTCCTCTAAAAAAATAACATAGAGGGGAAGATGTTAAGACACCGCAAACGAGATATGTGATTGCGGACGTGCGCCGCTACGTTTTTAACTAAAAATGGCTCAAGAATCACGATGAGTGCATAGAAAAAGTCTGAAATACACTCGTAACCGTGAAATCTGAGTGAGGAATACGCGATTCTTTAATTCTCCCTCTTCAAAAACTACACTACGGCACAGGTTAACATGCTTTTCATCTGTTCACATAGCTGCTATGGGGGTAACCTAAAAAGTCCCGCACCACCCCTGCAACCCCTAAGCTTCTCGTTTCTTTTCAGGGTGGTTCTTCTTAAATTTTCGGGGTCCTCAAAAGTCCTCCTCTTTAACCGAGGAGCGCTGATTAATTTCAAGTATTAATTCGATTTGGTCAAAAGTTAAAGTGGTGATGCCTTGGGCTGGTAAAGAGGGATTCTTGAATCACCCTGTACATCTTGCGTGCAATAAACCCATTGTCGATTATTTAGCTTCAAAAATGAAAGTATCGATAGCCGATGCTCAATCCTAATTGATTAATGTTTTGCAATCCTACTGACAATAACTTTTGTGTTCTTATGTCACTTATGATTAGTATAGGAATAAAACACAAACCAACCCAAATTTTGTGTTGGTTTTGGTACAATTGGTGGTAAATTTAGCGCAAAAAACGATGAATTGATTAGAAAACCCCAAAAACACAAAGATTCGACAATCACAAAAAGACCGGAATCGCAGTTGCACCGCACCGCAACATCGTGTATGTTGACTCCTACACCCGCGAGATAACTATTCGTGCTCTTAGGACGTGCGGGTTGCGGCTCGACTCAATTGAAGGCGTTTTCCCCGGACCGAGCCGGATCTCTTTGAGGAGTGGCTATGTATCAGTTGATCGTCGCACCGCACCGCCTTTATAAGTTGGCAGGCTTTAATTGTTCTACATTCTACAATAAAGAACTATAATATCTGACTTATTTTTATCTGCGAAAAGAAGCTAAAGGCACATACGTTGTTTCTAAAGTGAGCTGTGAATTGTAAATCCTACACAGAGAGCATACTTAACACGTAAAAAATTGTTTTTAAAATAACGGGACGCGTTTCGGGACCTTAGCTCCCATCGTCAGCCGCGACTCATGAGTCCCGTTATTTTAAAAACAATTTTTTACGCAAGTGAGTGTGGCTTTACCAGAAATTGTCTTTGTGTTTTTAAGGAACTTTAACTTGTGTAGGCCCCTAACGGTCTTCAAAGTAGAAAACCCCAGTTTCAATCGAAATCTTGGGTTATTTTCAGTTTTTTTTTCCCCCGTGTTAACCAAACGTTCGTGTTGAGTATCCTCTCTGTGTAGGATTTACAATTCACAGCTCACTTTAGAAACAACGTATGTGCCTTTAGCTTCTGTTTGCAGATAAAAATAAGTCAGATATTATAGTTCTTTATTGTAGAATGTAGAACAATTAAAGCCTGCCAACTCATATAGGCGGTGCGGTGCGACGATCAACTGTTACATAGACACTCCTCAAAGAGATCCGGCTCGGTCCGGGGAAAACGCCTTCAATTGAGTCGAGCCGCAACCCAAACGCCCTAAGAGTACGAATAGTTATCTCGCGGGTGTAGGAGTCAACATGTACGATTTTACGGTGCGGTGCAACTGCGATTCCGGCCGTATAAAATTGCGGAGAGGCTTATCAGCACTAACTGATTAGTCGCCTCACCCCTATTTTAAAAGAAAAACAAGCGTCCGATTTTGACATTCTTAAGTTAGCGAGCATTCGTGAAATATATTTGTGAGGTGAGTCACAAAATACTGCATAGCCAAGTATATATGGATTGCATTTTGCAAAAAGGAACCAGGAGTATTGCAATAATGCTATGATTGTGCAGCTTCTTTTGTCTCAAAAAAAAAACCTGATTATCCATAAACAGTTTCTTTTTACTGGATACAAAACTGTGAATTCAGGACAGAAATAACGATGTGAATTTCATATTTTTTCAGGTTTTCAATAGTTTTATTGCAATGAATGAAGTTGCACAATCTTAGCAACACGAATATTTTTCCAATACAACTGTTATTCTTCATGATCTCCTACCAGCAATTAGTAATGTTTAAAACAATATCGATTTGTTTCAACGCCGTTTTTTCGTTAAATTATGCATTTAACGATAGAAAGGGGGGGGGGGTCTGGCCAGCCTCTCGAAGTTATTTAGAGGTATCCAGGCTAGCCTTACGAATGCATTACGGGGAAGGGGAGTCAAGAATCGGGAAAAGTGCCTTACGTAATTTGTGGACGGCCCCTCAGCGTTCAAAACTCAAATTCGCGCGGGTTTGAGGGCCCAGGTGTTGCGTCACCGCGAGGCTCCTTCACCGAATGCGACGACAAAGGGACCCATCCGAGTGACGCATTAAACGGGGCTAATCTTGTTACCCCAGATTCAATTTTTCAGCCGGTTTTATTGGAGCTCCTCGGGCGGAAGTAATCGGGAAATTTGAGCATGCGTCCATACCCTCACGTTGCCAAATTTCACCTGCCAGTTACACAAAATATACGATTCAAATTGTAAATACTTGGAGTTTATTGAAAACTGGCGGTGGTGGAGCGTCTGCTGAGGTCCTTTCAGACGATGGACTCCTGTCTCTCTTAGTCTGTGATAGACCTTCCTTGGATACCTCCCTGCACTACAGGTAAGGCATATATTTACTCATATATTTGTATTAAACAAGGCGGTAAAATGGTGCTGGGTCCAAGCCATTTTACGGGGAAGACAAAGCCAATAAGTTAAAAAATTTCAATTAGAGTTAAAAAATTTTTACACACAGTTTGGGCTATTTCTTAGCGTCTTTCCTTATTTGCACTAAATAAACTCAATTTTATTTATCGTGAAGCCAACTTAGAGCGTCACATGAGACAATTTTTACTCAAAATTTATGTTTACTGTATGTATAGTAAAAATTACTCTACTTTAAATGATCCTTTTCGTGGTTTTGGGGTCTTTGATCGCGTTATACGGTCTCAGATCTGGATTCTCTGTCACCTGTAATTTTGATTTTGAAAATTAAAGCGGTCAGATAGCCTCAATGGAACAATTCAATATTGATACATCAATTAATAATATTCGAATTATTAGTATTTTTTGTTACTCCAAAAATCCTCGAACGTCACATCACGCTAATGTACCTTTAGGTTTTGACGCATAAAATTTTACCGAGAAGCTCTATGATATAACAAAAAAAGTACACGCCGAGTGGAATCGTAAAATATTTTATCTTCCGATTTTTATTATTCATTTGAGACATATTTTCGAAGTTATTTCAGATACTTTCTCGGTCAAATCTTGTGTGCAAACTCTTGACGTGCCATTGACGTGCGGGATTTGTTGAAGAAAAGAAAATAAAAACGAAAAAAGAAACCAAAAATTATCGAGGAATCGATCGTTCATGGAATCGTTCTCAAACGTGATAAACGTCCTCACCAAACAATGCATCGTGTAAACCTCCCCCCTCTCTTCATTTTATGATGTGTTTAAAACTTCTAAATGCCGTATTGCTGTAAGAATCATCAAAAGAGCATGGAGTATTGAAGGTAATATGCATCACACCAACCAACAATAAAAATACATGAAATGTATTACTCAACTCATAAGTAGTGCACTTTGATCAATATTAAAAACTCTCGAAATTTTTCCGATTTGTTTTTATATTTCTCAGTGAAATAAATGAGGAAAAAATATGTTGCGCTTTTGGTCGGGGTGGAATTATTTCTCTGCATAGAGCGGAAAAGAAATCGTGTATAAAAACTTCACGTTTCGCCTTCATGATGAAGTAAAATGGACATATTCATTCTAAAAGGAACTATATGCATAGGGTTTGCGAGCAACATAGTTTTTTTAGCATAAATATTTCCAAATCAGGTCAGAAAACTGAGACAATAAGAGAACTTCGAGACATATTTCGAATCAGCCTTCAATTTTTTGCTTATGCAACAAGGGCCGATAGTGGCATCCAGATGTTAACATAAACTTTGTGACCAGTGCATTGCGATATATCGACTGATCTGCCATTTAAGCCTGTGAAAAAGGGTCGCTGAACAGGCGGGTGTTCGCAACAAACTCCTCAAAAGTCGATTCTTTTCCACAACTTCTAATGAGGAAACATCGATAATCGATCATTCACGCCTCACCACTGTTCGTGACCGTAAGCATACCTTTCCTTAGTAATTAGTGGCGTTTTTCGTAGATTAGAAAACTTTATTCTTCTTTCCTTTTTATTTTAATCCTGGTCTGACAATCTTTATCTCTGGAGATTGCGGAATTCGCAGTTTCTAAATCCGGAGAGTGAAAAGCATACAGCCTCACGCTTACATGCCTCGTCGTAATTACGGTTTCAAGACGCGGATCCTTGTTTTCAATGTGAAACTGTAAGAACTGAGGGGTAATTTCACATGCCCCGAGCCCCGAATAACCTCCCAAAACAGGACCCCTCTCAGCCCTTTTTCAGAGAACAGTAGCATTTAATCGATGTGAGACTCAAACGGAGCCTCTTACAATTAAAGCCTCTAATAAAGTATCTAGCGTGAGCTCAAAGCTCAATTTTGCACCGCAGCTTACCGCAGCGCTACACACTTTAAGTCGTTGATAATTTAAAAGAAACTCTTTGCAACGTTAAACATGCGCGATTTCTATCATCGTATCGCCCATCAGTTTTGAGCTGCACTGGAAAAAAAAAGAATCTTAAATTTGCTGCCAAGAAGTATTTCTTCTTAAAACGCAAGAATTTTGCTGGTTAATATAAGCTACTTTTTTGCTTAGCCCAAGCATTAATTTTCTTGAATCAAGAAAAAGTCAGCTTAAAGCAAGATATAGAAAATTCTTGGCGGCAAATTCAAGAATTATCATGCTTGATCCAAGCTACTTTTTTTCAGTGTGGAACTCAATATAATAATTGTGGATTCGCTCATTGCGGGGTTTCATCTCAGTCCGATCCATTAAAATCCTGACCTCTCAAGAAAGAGGAAAAGGATTTACATTGGAAAGAAGGTTCTTAAACCTAGAGGCCAGGCTCTTTAAAAATTTGACAAGAAAAAAATACTCTTGTTTCAATCGGATTTTTGCTGAAATAAAAAAAAATCCACTTAAATTAATAGGCTTATCTCTCGATTCAAGCAAAAATCCGATTGAATGAACAATATTATTTCTTGTCAAATTTTTTAACAGTCTGGACTCAGGATCCAAGAGCCTTTTTTTCCAGTATAGGGGGATTTTTCAATGTGAAGAGTATGAAAAATCCTCATTTACTATAGGGAAATCAAATTTCCGAAGATGAAGCCGAAAGCCATGTCACCGCGAGGCACAGCAAGCTCTGGTTGTCAGCTTTAGAATTATAGTCAGTCTTTCGTCGGCAAAAAACTGCTAGGGTACTTAAAAATAATGTCAAAGGTGTTACTTTTTCAGAATAAAAAGCCCGACAGCCTTACCATTTGTGTCCTTCATCAAACTAAGGTATGTTTGAAGATTTGGCTGAAAGACACGGTCCATCAAAGAAAACAATAGTGTTCATTGTCTACGTATCTCTGTTCTTGGATAATACTCTCCTTACCGTAGTTGGTAAGTGATTAAGAACATTATAGGTTGTAAAATTAAAATCGCTGAGGATAATTTTGACGCTTTCATGTATTCTCTTATAATTTTAATATGGATCGCATATGTAACATAAAGGGACCATTTCGATTACGGTGTTGTAAAAATCAGCATCTTCATTTTCATAAAAAATGTATAAAATAGAACGGGATTTCTGCCAAAATATTGTTAATATTAAAGGCAAACTGTAGTGCAAATTGTTTTTCTATGCGTGTGCATATGCTTAGCATTTTTAAAGCAAACAAGGAGTGAAAAGATTTCGTAAACATCGTAATTGACTTTGTTCCTTTCCGTCGAATGCAAACTAATGGTAAACAAAAAGTTAAGCACACATTTTCATCAACATTTTTCAAAAATTCTTCTCCCAAAATTTCAATTAAGGAAAATTAGGAGAAATCCTAGAAGGGATATGACTACTTTGTCATGTTATGGAAAAACGCCGTATGAACATTTGCATAGTGCCAAATTTTTCCCAATCAAACATCAATTCTTGAGGAATATTTGTGTGTGTGTTCATTATTCTTCCTTTAAATTCTCAGATATTCTAAATTATCAGGTTCTCTGGAAAATTCAGGAAAAATTCAATAGTATCCCAAAGTATCTCAAAGTATTCAAAAGAGAACTTTGACGACCTCTGAAGGCTCATAAGGCGTCCTTCCGTAGCACGTCAATCCTGGTGTTTTGATGGAAAAATATAAGTGGTGGTAAGAAACTGCCCAACTTCATAATGATTTCAAGGGTTTTTTTGTGTCAAAATATTTGATAAAATTTTTTGTTTCCTGTAAAAGTTGAGAGGATAGTCATTTTCAATCGATAATGAGATTCCTGAATCACTTATATCGGTTTGCGACGTTGCAAAGTTCTTGGTTTACGTTCCTTATTCTGCGAAAAACTACGCAAAGCGCTTCCTTGAAAATTACCGTGGTTCTTTACACTGCGTAAAGAAAAACCCGGTGAAATTTCAAGGAAAAATTTTGCTTATTTCTTCGTTGGATTCTAGAAACGTGCATTTTGAAAAAAAAACTCCATCAAAAATCGCGGTCTGGGCATTCTGCCGCGCGTTAGAATGAAACATTCTGCCGTGCTAAGGAAGAACGCCGTATGAACATTCGAGTGTTGCCAAATTTCCTTCGAAGAAATGTTGATTTTGTAGGAAAATTATGAATATGTCTCCTTGAAATTTGGATCAGATTACAGACAAAATTATTTGCGAAATTGGTAGACAAAGATTTGAACATTTTCCTGAAAATTGGTGGTTTGCGGGGGAAAATTTGGCAACGCCTAAAGGCTCATACGGCGTTTTTCCTTAGCACAGCAGTATTGCTCAAAGACCACAGTGAATGAATGGTCCTTTTGTGTCAAAATATTCTGTGTCTTTTATTATTGCTGTCCATGAAGTGCACAAAAATGAGATCAAGTGAAAATTCAAGTTTCTGCGTCTGATTTGGATACCTAAATTCTCATGAAGTTCCTGTTTCTTTTGCAGTGCCTATTATTCCGGATTACTTATTTCATATCGAAAATCCATACAGCGATGTTCTCACAAACATTTCACGGACGACTACTACGAACGTCAATGAAATTGCCAAAAAGTATACCTTATTCTCCTCTTATTGTGTGTGCATGTCAGATCATTATCAAAAGTTGCAAATGGCGTAACCATTACTGGTGATACTGGTGGTTGGGCTGTAAAAAAATTGCCAAAAAATTTGACGAAGTAATAGTTTCCATGTGTTGCAGGTAAATAGCCAAATCAGACATTTCATCGAATGTCTTGGTAGATAGCCACATTTTTACAATTTACGAAATTTTAAACACGTTTGACACAGAGCCCATACGTGTTCAATATTTTGAAGGTAGAAATTCATCAAATCTACACACTTCCTTGATATTTTCCGCTTAAAATCGTCATTATACATTTCACAACATTTTTAAAATTCAGTCATTTACAGCATGCTGCAAATTTCGATTTGAGTGTTCGTCCAAAAGCGAGGAATCATTGAGAAGAATATTTTATGATGCTAATTTCTACAGAGAAATCCATCGTAAAAAAGCTAGTAATTATTTTATTCAAACATTGGAAAATAATCATACTTTAAAATTCAAGTCAGAATATATACATATTTGACTCTTTGCCTATAGGCATTTGACCAACTGCCTCATTTGACTAACTGCCGGTAACACAGTACACATCGATTTAAATTAAATAATACGACTCCAAGATTTTTCCTACGTACTTTCACAATCAGTGAATAAAACAGTAAAATATATGAAAAGAGTCAAACAAATAATTTAGATTAAACACTAAAAAAAACAACAAATACATAAGAATTCGATTATTTTCATTTTATTTTATTTATTTTTTTAAATTGTTTTTGTAATCAGCCTTTTCTCAATGGATTATTGTACCATTTTGCTATCGGAATAGCGCTGGGATGCTGTACAGGTACTGCATTCGTAGTTTTTGAGCCAGCCTTTTTTTTTTTTTTTTTTTTTTTTTTTTTTTTTTTTTTTTTTTTTTTTNTTTTTTTTTTTTTTGTAAATCCGTTTATTTGGATTCTTAATAACGTCAATGATTCTTCGTGAATTACACGATGCGATAATTTTGTCTGCTCAGAGCATTGGTGGAGATGGAAAAGGACCTAAGGGCGGAAAATGGTCAAGTCGGTCTGCTCTTATCTTCGAAAGCCCTCTTACAGCTGATCATGAACCCAATCGTAGGAGTCTTATCACCCAGGCTAGGAGTGCATCTGTCTCTTTTCATAGGCTCGGTCAGTCTCTTGGTCGCAGCTCTGAGTAAGTCATACACTAATTTAGTGCTTTTAGAAATGGTAGGGCTATACAATACACACCATTACTGCCGTGCTAAGGAAGAACGCCGTAAGAAAATTTGAGAGTTCACAAATTTCCTTCGATAAAATGTATATTTTTGCGGAACGTTATGATTATTTTTCCTTGAAATCTTCAGGCGCTTCAGGTGAAGCTGCGAATAAAATTATCTGAAAAATTGGAACGAAAATATTTATAAGTTTAACAGGAAATTCTTGTTATATCAAAGGAAATTTGGCAGCGCCTGAAGGCTCATACGGCGCTCTTCCTTAGCACGGCAGATTAGCGAATGCAACGTGGGCAATCGAGTCGGTAATACCGTCTTGATCCAACTATTCCTTTTCTATGAACAACCGTGGTGCATACCAAAAAGTTGAAGGCGCTCCGGTTATTCTAGTCTAGACCATAAAAAGTAATACGTATAGGGGCGTTCGACGCGCCATTATGAAGAGAAGTTGCTTTTACTCCTCTCTACTGCTCAAAGCTCTTGCTATTGTAGTGTATTTTACTCCAACCTGTGGTCGTATTTACTTTTCTTTCTTAAACTGCCGAATTTAACTCCTGGTAAACGGCTTATTTCTACTAGACGCAGTTTACACACTGTGAGAAATCAGCACTTTATTTGTAAATAAATTCGGCAGTTAACGAAAGAAAAGTGCATACGACTACAAGCTGGAGTGAAGTACACTACATTACGAGGAACTTTAAACGGGTGAAAGGAGTAAAAGCAACTATTCTTCTCTTCATATTGGCGTGTCGAGCACTGCTGCTTTCACCTCTCGTGGTCTAGAGTAGCCCGAGCGCCTTCAATTTATTGGTATGCAACACGGATGCCCATAGAGCACGAATTTGCATCAAGGCATTAATACCAACTTAATTAATAAACCACCCGAACACGGTGCGGATTTAAGCATTTTAATATAATTATTCATCAATTACACACTACCGTGCTAAGTAAAAACACTGTATTAGTCATCAGGCGTTGCCAAATTTCTTTCGACAAAATACGAATTTGCAGGAAAATGTGTGAATATTTCTCCTCTAATTTTTCACTGGATTTCTTTCATAATTTGATGTAAAAAGTCTGGAAATTTCAAGGAACGATTTTCAGAACTTTCTTCAAAAATAAATATTTTCAAAGAAAAAAATTGGCAGGGTTCGAATACTTATGCGACGTTTTTACTTAGCACGGCAGAACAGCCTATAGTACACTGGGAAAAAAAGATTGGTAGAATTTACCATTCCTTCACGCTGAATTTCACACAGCGTGAAAGAATGGCAAATTCTACCAATCTTCAAGTCAATTCTGCCAGAGAAATGGTTACCAGTACCAGTATATAGTAACGTTTACCTTTCTTCTGGCAGAATTGACTCTGAATTGACGCTGTGTGAAGTACAGCCTGAAGGAATGGTAAATTCTACAACTTTTTTTTTCAGTGTAACTAAAAGCAACAAAGCAACGTGCCCAAGCCGCCGAACTACGTGCAGCAACGTGCAAAAAGTCCCAGAAATAACGTTTATTCGGAGCCTCGGAATACCATTACGGATCGGTCGACGGCGATGCCAGGTCTCGTCCAAAATACCCATTTTATCAGAGCCGAACTGGACGACGACGGGGCATTACACTCTGGCAACCCTGCATTCGATTTTCAGTGAAGGGCTCTTAGACCCTCTCCTCCTCCCCCTCCGCGCCAACGAGCTTCAATGGTGCGACGCGTCAAGCGCTCTTAATGACAGCTGAATTTGCGCGACGTGCGATTTTTTGTTGTGAAGCGCGCATCGTTTTGATCATTCGCGCCGTGGGTGCCTAATTGTACTGAAAAATCAACATTTTTGCCATTGAGACTGACGGGAATAATGCGAATTATCAGCGAGCTCTGGCAACTATGACTCGTGCCCGGAAAAAAATAATAATGGAGTGACCCGAGAGGGGGTGGGGGGTTTATACCCTCTCTTATGGCCCCCTTTCCACGTTTCGTGCAGCCAATACTGCCGTGCTAAGGAAAAACGCCGTATGAACCTTCAGGCGTTGCCAAATTTCCTTTGAAAAATTACTAGTTTTCAAGATCATTTGTAAATATTTGTCTTCCAATTTCTCAGGTAATTTAGTTTGCAATTTGATCTAAAAAGTCTGAAAATTTCAAGGGAAAATATTAATAACTTTCTTCAAAAATGGATATTTTCCGAGACGAAATTTGGCAACTCTCGAATGTTCATACTGCGTTCTTCCTTAGCACGGCAGAATATGGGTGGGGGGGGGGCGAGCGTGTCCTCTGAGAGACAGATCCGATTTACTCCGAAAAAGAGTAAATAAAATCATTCCGTCCGTCCACTGATCCGTGCGGCAGCGCATTCGCCCAGGATTGAATGTCTTGCTTATCATTAAAATGAATTTTGGTGACATGAACAAGATGTGCCTTCAAAAGGCGCCCCTACACAGCATATAAGGTGATACGAGATGCAACCATCAAAACACGATTGTGTGACCAGCAAACTAGCCCGCTATCGTAATTTATACTTTATACAAGAAAGTGATGATTACAATCTTTGTAAATATGTATTATGAATGTTGGAGTGAATGAGTGTTGAATGAATTGAGAATAATGGATACAACTTATTTTAGTGAAAGATAAGAGAGAGATAGCTTATGATACTTCTCTCTTACCCATTAAGTCAATGAATGACACCCGCTTTCCTCATTTTTAGTATAAAATGACAAGAAATATTCACCAATTTAATTTCTTACCACTGAGCACTCAGCACTAACAGAGCCAGATTTACGTACTTGCCACCCATGGGCCGCATGTATTTTTCCGTCCCCTTCTCATTCGTTTTGATTCATCAATGAAGACCATCAAGTGAACGTGCCGGAGGGAGAGGGGTGCATAAGACGTGTTTACTCGTGTTGCGCACATTTTTTGCGAAAGCCCTGTCAACACTACTAGCAAAAGTTCACGGAACTTTGAGCGAAAGTTAAGTTCCGTAAACCTATCTCTGTGTGTGTGGACAAGGTCTTCAATTTGTAAGAAATGAACGAAAAAATTATGAATGAACAAACATAAATGTTGCTTAAGAATTTTAACTTCCGCCCTCGCGCGCTCCGCGCTGCCGCATTGTGTTTGGCGCAATGCATGAAGTATTCATGCAGTCTTGTAGGCGCTACGCGTTTCACGCCGACCGCTGCTGAACGCAATGTTTTTGACGCTATGCGTGAAGTATTCATGCAGTCTTGTAGGCGCTGATATGTGTTACATGCCGACCGCTGCGCCGAGGGCTTTTCCTTCTCATCTCAAGTCCTCGTCATCGTTACTCTCTGCGCCGCGCCGCTCCAGGCCAAATTTCGTGTTTGGTTTCTCTCCTAACTCGACTTATTAAAGGTGCTGTCTCTTGTATCACCGATAGACAACAAAATTAGAAATTACCATACTCTCTGGAAATTAGAGATTTGGTCGCCTTTTCTGGTCTGTAATTATTTTTTCTGAATCCGATTTTTTAAACCTACATTTAAAAAAATTTCAAAATTTGCCGCCCTCCAGAGCCGCCATTGACCGTGGCCCATATGGCCACCTCCTGAACTCGGCCTTGAGCATTCATATTGCTGTATACTATGAATTAAGTTCTTTAATAATTGTAGGTTACGGTAGTTATTGCTTCTCATTGAAGACACAAACTGTGTAGCAACGCATCGTAAGGGCAGAACGCGTCTCCAACTTCATTTAATTCACCTCAAGGTTACATAGTTTGTTCATTTTTCCGGATGTGTTGAATTATTACATATTGTTGATTTTTTCTTTCCGGTGTTGTATTGGTGTGGAACACCGGAAAAAAGAAGAAGAAAAAATGAACAAAAGGTAATAATTACCTCAAGGTGCTAGAAAAACTGGTTTCACTTATTTAAATATTTGAAAACGGTTGGATCCATATCGCCTTGAAGTACATTTCAGCTGCTTATTCCCAAAAATCTCTTTTATGGAACTTGAATTAAATCTGAATTTGTCCAAATGTGAATATCAATAGTCAGACCCAGTCAACTGCAAGTGCTTTTTTATTCAAAACTCACGATTTAAACATGTTGTATTTTTTTTTCATAGTGTTCGAACACTATATCACGTGATTTATTGTCGATTGTTTTTCAGTATTTGCTTTGGGCGAAAGCTTCATCGAGCTACTGATCGGTCGTAGCCTACAAGGAATAGCGTCCGCGTGTATCGGTGTAGCAGGTACGAAACATTTAGTCACATTTTTAAGCCCCTTGCATGCGCATGACACCACTCATTTCAATTACGTCTCAAGATCACTTTCAACCCATTTATGCAATAAAAAAACACTAGATACATTGAAATTTTCTGGATGCATTCAATTTCTGCATTACTGCAATATCTTCATCAATGATTGCTGTTATCAATATGTATTCGTATCATCCATGTATGGATATCCAGCTCATATTTTGTCGTATTTCGAAAACGGCATTCTGCTCTAAAGGTGTGCTCATGGTGGTTTTTGATTTAATTTTTTCTGAGAAGTTCATTCATTCGACCGTATCACTAATGCGTGACAGGCAGCTAAGTCCTGGAATTAGACTCCTGGATCCGAATTGAAGTTTACAATGTAAACGAGTCGTTGGTCTGATTTATTCACGATGTTCTGACATTTGAAATGCCACGGTAAATTTTAGCTTTGAAAAACGATCTCTACCAAAACCACCTTGTGCAGAGGGTTTAGTTGTAGATAAAAGACGGAATGCTGATTACAAGAGAGATTTTCACCTCTCTCGGTCTTTTTGCGGAAGATTTATGCTCCTTAATCTTAGTAGGTAGGCAATGCGCAGGCTAAGAAGTTGAAGGAGTGGTTTCACAGATCGCGGCATCTCAAAGGCTTGTCGGGTGAATTTTTCATGGACCCGGATAATGCATCTTTCAACCCGCAAAATGATTAAAGTCTCAGGGTTATTCTCTCTTGAAATTATAAAATAAGACATTTTCAGGTAGAGAAAAGCAAAAAAAAGCAAATGTCACTTGAAAAAATAGTCTAAACAATATATCAAATTTGTGGAGTTTTCGCATCAATGATCTACTTGTCAAACAGCTCCTTTTTCGATGAAATATCCTTACAAAACGGCATTTGCACTTTTTTCATAAGATATTCAGTGTTTTTAAACTACTTTAGTAATGTATGGTAGCCTGAAGATCAGTTAAATAGGTTGAATGAAGATCCTGTTGAAGTTTTTATTAATTTTGTATTATTCTTAAATAACGGTTAATTCACTTTTTAAGAGTACAGTGATTGGAATAACTTCGGTGCTAATTTTCTTGACTGAATACAGCACAAACTGGGCAAAAATGTGAAAGCGCCGTTATATACACGTCCGCAAAAGTAACTGATAAGCACACTCGAAGAACGGATATGTTATCCACCAGTACATTCAATATTTTTCTATCCTACGGGAAGATCTTATCGTATAAGGAAAATGCTACAAAAATTGTTTTGAGATCCCAAAAATCGAGAATGTCTGTTTTCTTGTGGTGCCTGGAGGGAAGTTAAGGCCAGCTCGCATGTAGGTAAAAAAACAGGAAAAACGGATAAATCCTGTTTTTCCTGAACGAATTATACAAACATATTGACATATTTGTTGGGAGTTAATCTCAGTAATTTTCGTTCGTGCGCATCATGTTCCACGTAAAACTTTCGAGAGAAATTATTCATCAGAATGCCTAAATCCGTACCTTGTTCATTGGTTCATTAAAGCGAGTCGGGCACCATTGTTTATCAGAGCAATAAAATAAGTTTCAAAAACTGAAACTCGTAAAAAACGCACGTTTTCGGAATTCCGGGGGCAATCGAAGACCTAGCATTCAAACTTTGGCGAGATTTCATTTTTTTTTCTGTCCCGATGAAAACACGCATCCCAGACTTTAATAAACGAATTTACACCGTGAAACGGCCCGCTCAGATGAATTCCGCAGGGGACAACCCCCCCTTCCACCTCCCCCCTCCCCCTTCTCTCCGCCTCGCTCCCTGAACAATATGATGAAAGTTGGGCTCTCCAACTTTGGCGTCGAATAATACGGTCATCGAACGAGGATGGAAAGTCCCCTGTCTCGCCTGTCGTGTTATAGAAGAGAACATTAGCTCTATTCAGACGTGAGCCGTGAAGTACATAAAAGCACGGGTTACTCGCGGCTCACGTGAGAATGGAGTTGCAAGTTTCCTCCGTAGCACGGTGGTCTCGTAGGTCAACTTGGGAAAGGCGCTTTTTGCTCGAGTTCGTCGCCGCGGGCAGCTGAAGCCACGTTTCCACAGGCACACTGAAAAAAAATTCTCCGCGTTTTTACCAAGGTCCGATGGTACCTTTACCATCTCTTTTTTTTACCAATTATTGGTAATTTTACCAAGACAGACTGGTAAGCTTACCTAAAAACCGGTATTTTTACTGTTTTTTTTTTCAGGTAAGAATACCACTTTTATTGGTAATCAATTCCCGGTAACTTTGCCATTTTATCTCGGTAATTCTACCACAGTCGATAAAAAAATATTGGCGTTTTTACCAAGGTTCAGTAAAATTACCGAGAAAGTTCAATAATTTTACCGAGATTTCTCGGTAAAATTACCAATTCCATGAATGGTAATTTAACCAAGAAAAAAACTGGGATCAAATAGAACCCTGAATTCTTGGTAATTTTACCCTTTTTTTAGTGAATACACCGAGATTTTTTTTTTCAGTGCACGGCGCGATACCAAGTTGACCGCGCCGCGCGACATGATGAAGTGATTTTGGTCTGTCTGTCACCGCAAACGTCAGAGATTTGAGTTGTCATTTCAATGCCAACACTATTATACCGTGTTAGGGGCCGTTCAAGTATTACGTGAGGCAAACATTACGTTCCTTTGTCCGAGGAACGACGATTTTGCGCTTTTCGATATTTCAGTTAATCTGCCTTTTAAACCTATGGAAAAGGATCGATGAACAGGGTGTTCGCAATGAACACCTTAACAATCGATTCTTCACCATACCTTCAAATGGGGAAATATCGATAATCGATCATTCACATTGACTCACGGCTCTCTTCGCTATCATGGCAGAGCATTCCTTTTTCAAAATAAACGAGAAGTTTAACATGATGAATAATAAAATGATAGCGCGCGGCCAAATTCACGTCCCGCGCTGCCTGTGGAACCGAGGCCTGACCGAAGTTAAATTAATCCTCGCAGCGCTAATTCCGCCAGGTACCCGCGGTTAATTTCCCGCGTAAAATGCGGAGAAGCTTCACTGCTGTATGAAAGTTCAGTCTACAGGATTGGTGGGTGAAACTGTCGGAAAACGGGAGGATGGAACAATGACATGAGCGTTTTTTTTTTTTTTTTTTTTTTTTTTTTTTTTTTTTTTTTTTTAGTTCATGATGTCAATGTCGCAGGCTCACCGAAATAGTATGGTAAACGAATCCAGGTAGTTTTTTGAATGAAGATTATCAAAATTCTGGTCGCATTTACTATACTTAGACGTATTTCTGCCAAACGGAACAATTTGCTTGACGTGAGCCATGATATGCATATATTCTTACGGGTCGTAGGGCTAATGTCTTAATACACGTAGTACAGTTTGGCAGAGGTAATTCCATTTACGCATGATGGGTATCAATGCGAGCTGATTTTTGAATTTGATGGACAAAGCGATAGAACAAGAAGATGACGGGAAAATGGAGCTAACTCTTTCGTCGAAAGGGGTAGTTGTAACAGAGTAAAGGGGAAAATGATGGACCACGACACTGAAAGAAATACATTGTTACCATTACCAGGATATTTGTCATATTTTATCCACAAAGAGCCTCGTAATGCACACTAGACTGTATTTAAGAGGACTCGAGTCTTGTCAACATTACAAGAATTCCTGTCTCTGAAAAAAGACTCTTACTTTCATAGCACGACAGCCTAGTATATGGTTAAGAAGAAAGAGTTTTGTGGATAAAATATGACAAGGTAACGGTGACAAGGTAGTTTTTTCAATGTATTTTGCCTGAATCCATGAAAAATAAGGCGAAGAGTAAGATAGACGATGTGATCTGGTAAGCGCGCGAATAGTGAATGATTGAACTGGACGGTGTACCCTGGGGTTAGCCCATTCTCACCCCGTCAGCTATCTTCCCCGCTTCGCGCTTCACAGAGCTCTCCGCGCAGATAAGTGAGATCATTTTTTAAAGCGACCTCCTCGCTGGGTCAAAGGTACGACGCCGCAAAATAAATGCATCATTTTGATTGAATGCGTCATAAATCATGGAGCCCGCGAGAGATGACCCATGCTACCGAGCTAAGGAAAAACGCCGTATGAACATTCGAGAGTTGCCAAATTTCCTCCCATAAACTGTTAGTTTTCGCGGGAAAATTTGAAGCTTTCTCCTTGATATTTTCAGGGACTTCAGGAAAAATTGTCAACAAAATTATCCGAAGAATTGGAAGGAAAATATTCATAAGTTCATGAGGAAATTTGTGTTTTATCTAATGAAATTTGGCAACGCCTAAAGGCTCATACGGCGTTTTTCCTTAGCACGACAGCATGGAAACGCTCGCTGCGAGCACACGGGGGACTAAGTTTTCTCATATCCTCGGTTTGAGTTAAGCCAAAATACGTATCCACGAATCGGTGTAAGCTCTGAACCATGTATTCTTACATCATCATCAGGGCTCAAACTGGAAGGCTCACAACATCCGTCGCATTATTAGACTCTAGAAATTGGCAGCGTGGAACAAAATGGATCTGTCGCAAACCATCGCTAGAGAGAAGAGAAGAGTCGTTTCTTGTGGAAAATGGCTCGAAACTCAAGATGAAAATATCGGAGAAATTTTAAATACGCTCCTGACTCCACAATATGCGCTACGTATTTTATCAAATGCCTAGGTAGATAAGTCAAATTTTGACAGTTTACGACATTTTGTAAATTATGGCAAAGAGGTCTAGAACTTTCAATATTTTGGGAGAAATAACTCACCAAGTCTACGGACTCTCCTTGTTTCTTCCTCTTCAAATGCTTCTCAGATATTTGAATGAAAACATTTTAAAAACTTTGTATTTTATGAAAGACTGAAAATTTCAAGATAAATGTTCGCTGAGAAGCTAAAAATCGTTTAAAATACTTTCGTTTGATGCACATTTTTACGGAGAATGGAGAATTTGCATGCAATTTTTTATTACTCCATCTAAAAGTGCTTAAAGATCTGATTTCACAGTATTTTTTATAATTTTCTTCTAATATGGGAAATAGTATAAAAATAGATTCAAAAATGAGAAAATGCACCACCTAGTAACGTCATCTGACGGCATTTCCCACTTAAACGCACGTATTTTAGCCGATTATATCATTTTGTCATATCTTCTCCGATAATTCTTCAGTTCATAAAGGAGGGGTATCCTCGTGTTCAGTTTACTCAGTAGTTTCCGCTTGAGCACGAAATTCATCAAATTTCAGACACCTGCAAATTATCTTTCAGGGGCAATGAGATATTTTGTGTACATCAAGGGGCGAAGATTAGAATTTGAATTTACGTAAGAATATCGACGGTGAAACTACCAAACCACGTATCTCGGTTTGCGACGTCGCAGACTACCTGTCATACTTTATTTTTTAAATGAAAAACTACTTAACGTCCAGTCTTGAAAATTTTTGTGATTTTTTCTCATCGTGCGGAGAAAATTCTGTGAAAATTTCAAGGAATGATATTGATTTGGTCTACTACAAAAAAATAAAATGCGAGCGTAGATTTTTAAACACCGCAAACGAGATACGTGGTTTGGTAGTTTCACCGTCGATATTTGACTCTACATTGGAATATTTGGGAGGACTTTGATTTATTTTGATGGTACTTGAATCTTTTTGCTTGATGAACAGGGATGTCCCTGGTGGCGCAGGAGTACCCGGAGGACAAGGAGCGGAGTCACGTGATGGGGATCGTCTTGGGGAGCGTGGCGTTGGGGGTCCTCCTCGGCTACCCCCTCGGGGGGCTCCTCTACGACATCTCAGGCAAGAGCACCCCCTTCTTCGTAGTCGCCTTCGCCGTCCTCTGCGATCTTGGTGAGCTCCAGCAAAAATACCCCATGAAACCCACTCTTAGTCGTACGTTTTTATGGTGAAAGGAACTATGTGCAAGCGGAAATATGGGGTGTGCTTGGGCAAGCTACATAAGAAACAATGTGAAAGTGAATATAGTGCCTTTTGAGGAAATGGAAAAGCGTGATTTTACATTAAATTAAAAGGAACTGAGCGCTATCTCATGAGCCGTGGCCATGTGACAAAAGTCTTGTGGACAGGGCTCAGGAGTTAAAGAGCCCCGCCACCGATCTCCCCGTTGTGCCTGGTCTTGTTCGTTGCCGCTAACGTCACTGACGCTTTTAAATTCCCATTCATTCTTAGGGCCCGAGCACTAACGAGCACATCCCCACCTTCCCACTTCCACATAGTTCCATTTAGCATAAATACGTCCAGTTGACAAAGGGTGCCTTAATAGGATAATGGCTCACTTAATCATAAACGAATATTGGCTTGTAAATAAAGCGTTGACCTTCTCTTGCTTCATTTTTGTCAATATGTAATCCATTTTAAGGGGTATGTGAAGGATTTTTCAAGTTTTGCCGCCATTGGCCTAAAGTCATATTTTGACCTCTAAATAACGTCCCCTATACTGCCATGCTAAGGAAAAACGCCGTATGAACATTCGATAGTTGCCAAATTTCCCCAGATTAATCATGTATTTTTTAGGAAAGTTACTCATACTTCTCCTTGAAATTTTCAGGAATTTTAGATCAAATTGCCGACAAAATCGTTTGAAAATGTTGAAGCAAAACATTAAAAAAATGTCCAGTAAATTCGGTTTATATTGAAGGAATCAGGCAACGCCTGAGGGCTCATACGGTGTTTTACCTTAGTACGGCAGTATGCCCCTCTTATTTTGCTGAATTGACGCCGCTGTGACCTCATGCGCCTATTTACTTTCCGTTCCTACAATTATTTACACATTATAGATCAGAAACACCAGCGTTCTTAATATTTCCAAAGAAATAATTTACAATTAGAGAAAAAGTAGTTGGACGTAGGATGGTTTTAATACATTCTCTTTTTTGTGGCCTTTTTAGTTGAAGAATGACAATGCATGATGTTTAAATGCACTTGTTTGAGACTGCGTTGCCTCAAAAATTATTGTAATAGAGCTAAAATATTTATTTTGCAGGTTTGCAAGTACATTATCTCAATTTTGAATCGAAATTTGAGGTAAGGAATGCAACTTTTTTTTCTGCAAAATTTTGTAATTTTACGCAGTTTTTTTGATATTCAAATAGAGAGAAGCCCCCATTATGATAGTCACAGTTATCTTACTCTGCGAGGGTGTATTATAAAAAGCACCATGAACAGATCATGACTGCACGCTTATTCACAGAGGGTTGAAAGGGGCTACATGGGCAAGTTGTAAGCCTCTCTCAGAAATCAATTAGAATTCTCAATTAATGCTAAGTACCCCTGAGATGGAATTGGAATATTCAATATTTGGAACCTGCCCAGTCCATTTGACTGTGAAGGGTAAATTCAATTTGCGGTCGATTCGGACAGTGAGAGGTATTTTATTAAATTACTGGCAAAGGAAGGTTCTCCGTACTGCCGTGCTAAAGAAGAATTCCGCATGAGTCTTCAGACGTTGCCAAATTTTCTTTAATGAAATGCGAATTTTTAGGGAAATGTATAATTATTCATCCTCTGATTTTCCAGAGAATTTTATCCACAATCAGGTATACATTATCTGAATATTGCAAGAGAAAATATTCGTGACTCTCCTCAAAAATTAACATTTTACTGGAGGAGATTCGGCAGCTCGAATGTTCATACGGTGTTCTTCCTTAGCACGGTAGTTTAGCCACGATGCATCTACTCACTATAAATGATCCGACAATTAGTGTGTTTTAATCAAATCGTCCGATAGGTTTATTGCCTCGAAGAAAAAATTAAGCCTGTCTTTCAATTTTTATGAATGCCTCGCCTTACTTTTCGACGGGGACACGCCGAGTAAACTTTTGTGCAGGAAGTTGGCGCCATGGTATACGTGCATTTCTGGTTAACCAGAAAAGTTTTCAAAGGATCATCTTTTTAAGAAAATATTTTTGAAATGTTTTTAGGATAATGTTTAATGAATAATGAAGTCATTCTCAATGTAACGATCTCGTTAGACCCTACAGCGAAAAAAAAAGGATGCTGATTTAACATTCTGGATGTAAAAATGTGTGCGACAAATGAGAATCTGAATTAGCCGCTACAGCAGTTAGTTTTACATCTTGAAATAATTCTAGCTGGAGCGCAACTCAGCTATGCATTCACAACTGCAAAAATGTCGCTGGAAATCGAAGACCCAGCGTGCATGGAGGCTATTTCCATTTTAATCTTCCGTCACATTCTTACGGCGCAATGATACAACTATTTGAACTCTCCGGAATGCGTGAGGTATCACGCCGCATTTGAAGGCGTTTTCAAAACAGCCAAGTTCCGATACCCGGATTATCGTTTTGCATAGTTCATATTATTTTGTTATATTCCGTACCACTTGTTTAATTATAATCCTCGTATAAAAACCACCTATTTGCTTAATACAATTATCGCTAAAGTAATTGCTTTTGCGGTAAATTCAGCGTTTTTTGAGGTGTCGCACGCTTTTTTACATCCAGAATGTTAAATCAGCATCCTTTTTTTTCGGTGTATCCATCATGCTGTTAAAAGTATTCTAAAAATATATTACAAGAATTATTATCATTACTCCATTGATATTAACCTATATTAATCTACTTAAACGTACGAATAACGTGATTGCTCCGTTGATTTGAAGCCAAGCGTGGGTGTATGGGGCTGGTCGCACATGCTCTCTCACAGACTGGTGGTCCTCATATCAGGAGCCCTGCTCTTTTCTACTGTTGCCATGGCCGTCCTTGAGCCGTGCCTCCCTCTCTGGCTCATGAGTCATATCAAACCTAAGGTAAGACATCAAAGTAATCTTGGACACTTTTTTCATCCTCAGCTGTCATAGAGTAACTTACGGCTTCGGCCGATCTAACCAAGAATTTGATCCATCGACCAAGCCCTTTTGGGGCCGTTCAGGTTTTACGTAACGTACTGCTTTGATCGATTTGTTTACTTCCATTCTTGTAACGCGCCCGTTACGCAGCCCTACACCCCTCTTTTGAATTACGTAACGCTGGCGGCTGGCCTACCCGGCCGTGCGAAGGCGTATGCTGCCGCGCTGAGGGAGAACGCCGTACAAGCCATCAGACATTGCCAAGTTTCCTTTGATAAAATACGAATTTATTGGTGAAGTTATGAAGAGTTTCATTCCAATTTTTATACAATATTGTTCGCAGTTTAATCTGAAACATGTAAAAATTTCAAGGAAAAATATTCATAACTTTCCTCAAAAATGAACATTTTATTCGGGCAAATTTGGCAAATCTCGAAATTTTATACGGCGTTATTCCTTGGCGCGGCAGTGCCAACCCCCCCCCCCCCNTATTTCAAAAGATTCAATCGGGAAGGGCGAGATTTTAAATTTTTTGCACGTTTTTTAATTTTATTTTTTTCTCCCCGGCTCGGATTTGTTATACGTAACGCTGGGCTTGACCGTCCTCCCACACTTGTAACGCAGCGTATCGCTGTTTCAACCCCCCCTCCCCCCTCTAAGTGCGTTACATAATACTTTAACGGCCCCTGTGATTGATCTGACAGAAAAAAACTAACTCTAAGTAGTAACCAGGCAGCCAGGTTGGCCTAGTGGTCAGCGCGTCTGACTCTTGGTAAATAGGTTCTGGGTTCGAATCCCGGTGGTGGCGTCCAGTTTTCACGGAACTGACGAGTAGGTTTGCTGAAACAGATTCTACTCGGCCATAATCCCTGAAAATTTGAAAAGCCTGGAGCATGGATGTGCCTGAATCCCTCGATGTCTACGGACAATGAACATAGTCTAAAGTTGGCTGAGGGTGCTAGACACGAAGCCATAAAACCAGCAGAAAAGAAGAAGAAAAAAAATAGTAACCAAAAGTAACCGTCAACACGGAATAATGGTAAACTGTGCAGCCCTGCGCCCACCCCTTGGGCGGTCTGATCTGAGAATAAAGTATATACTTCAACGTCAAAGAAGAGTGCAGCTAATCTGCCTTGACAAAAGAGTATTGACGTATCACTTTCGTCCATTAATTGAGTGTGGGCGATTCTCAGAAGCGACTCCGCAAAAGAAGCCAAGTCTCGGTATAGAGCAAGATTTCCCGGAACTCGTCCTTAATAGACGTCCGTTTGGACGCTAATGAGGCTTCCTCTTCAAAAGTCTTTTTCGTCGTTGCGAATTACGGTGGAGCTCCACTCTACCGTCCTAATGAAAAACCCCTCATGAGCTTTCGAACCTTGCTAAATTTCCTCCTATCAAATATCAAATTCCAGGGAAACTTGTGAATCATTTGCTCCCAATTTTTTGTATAATTTTTTTCGCAATTTAATTTGAAGGATCTGTGAATTCCGAGGACAAATATTGATAACCGCCTTGACACATAAGTATTCAATCAGGAGAAATTTGGCAACACGTGAATTTTTGTACAGGATTTTTCTTGAGCACGGTAGCGCCGGTTTTCCTTATGGGCTCTGACGAACCTTCGCCGTGCTTTTGACGAGAGAGCGTAACTCCATTTTTGACATGAGCCCCGGAAAATATGGACTTTTTCGAACAATATGATTCCCTTTAGACTGAATTTAAATCATTGTATTGAAGGAGTGGCGAAAATAGAGGGGGCTCCAGTAACTAATATCTTATAAATAAGTTTCGCTCCAACAGCGACGGAAAAACGTATCAATCGTTTTATATGAGTTTCTTTGAGAGTTTGGCGCTTCTGTAAGATGCGCAGGGAGCAGAGAAAGCCATCTGCTATAAAGGATAGGCAAAGACTTTCCTGGGAAATTTTCCAGGAATTTTGAAGAAAAGAAAACACACACACATACCCTTCCATACACGGTAATCACTCATACCTCGATGAGCAACCAGAAGCGTTTCTGAAAAATTTCCCGAGAATTTTTGGCTAATATCTACTTCTCGACAAAAGAGAATTTGCAGGTGTCTGAAATTTGGTGAATTTCTTGTTTAAGTGGAAACTACTGAGTAAGCTGATCTTGAGGATACACTCAGTTCATGATTTGGACAATTATTGGAGACGGTATGATAAAATGGTCTAATCTGCTGAAATAAACTGTTTAAATGGAAAATGCCGCCAGATGACGTCACAAAGCGGTGCATTTTCTCACTTTTGAATCTATTTTTATACTATTTCCCACATCGGGAAAAAAATTATTAATAATACACTGTGAAATCAGCTCTTTAAGCTCTTTCGGATGAAGCAATAAAAAATTTGCATGGAAATTCTCCATTCTTGACGGAAAAACACACGCTTCTGCACAGACTTAGAAAAAATTTCTCAACCCCCGTACCCCAAAATGATTTGTACCGTTTCATTCACTTCTGATTGTTCAAGTCTGAAAAACGTGCCTAAACCTAACCCTTGCTCCATTCTATTCATCGCTTTTTTTCTACTCAGAAATGGCAGCTGGGTCTGGTTTTCATCCCGGACAGCGTAGGGTACCTGATCAGTACGAATTTTTTCGGCCCTCTGGCTTACAAAGTTGGCCGCTGGCAGGTGGTCGTCATTTCAATGCTCATAATTGGAGTATCTACGTTCATGGTGAGCTTCTATTTTTGCATTTGTGTCATTTTCACAACTTTAAATGTGTGTACTAATGACTTCATTCAACACTGTCGTCCATAAATTGAGTGAGGTGACTTGGTCAGAGGGAGGTCAAGAGGTGCCTCACGGATGGAGGGTCTGTAGAGCAATCCTTTAAATGATACAAAACCCCTATTCAACAGACCACAAGACCGTGATTTCTCAATTCAAATTAATGTAAAATATTCACATTTATCGCACTATCTGGCAACCTCTAGAGTGAAATAGAAAAAGGTGGAATCGCTGAAGTCTGAATCTTTCAAAGTTTAATGATATTGGAGTAGAATACTTAACTTACTACTGTTCTTAACGTCAATATGAACGGCGATATTGCCATTAAATAAGAAACATAGTTATTCATAGCCTCTGTCAGAGTGGTGAACATGACCACATGATCATCATTGATTAAAATAACTGAGTATGTGGAAAACCTGTTAGTTTAATATGGTTTGATTTTTGTCAAGTTACCACAGTCAAAAAGCATGCTCGCTCTGATCACCCCCCATTTTCTGCTGGGCCTGGGGATAGGGGCCGTCGATGCTGCTTTGGTGCCTCTCTTGGCCTCGCTAGTGGATGCCAGTCTTTACAGCTCTGTCTACGCTCTTCAGCAAATGGCCGTCAGTTTGGCCTACTTCATAGGTTCGTATCATAGTTACTTTACATGCGGTAAATTTCTGGGAGTGGATTCGGTTAAGTTTTGGACTTACTGCCAGCTTCCGTTACAGCAAAACGAAAATCCTCACACCGAAAAAAAATTCTGGGCGTTTTTACCAAGGTCCGTTGGTACCTTTACCATCTCACTTTTTTTACTAATTATTGGTAATTTTACCAAGACAGACTGGTAAGCTTACCTGAAAACCGGTATTTTTACTGTTTCTTCAGGTAAGAATACCACTTTTATTGGCAATCAATTCCCGGTAACTTTGCCATTTTATCTCGGTAATTCTACCACAGTAGATAAAAAATATTGGCGTTTTTACCAAGGTCCAGTAAAATTACCGAGAAAGTTCAATAATTTTACCGAGATTTCTCGGTAAAATTACCAATTCCATAAATGGTAATCTTACCAATTTACCAAAAACTGGGATCAAATAGAACCCTGAATTCTTGGTAATTTTACCCTTTTCTTAGTAAATACAGAGATTTTTTTTTCAGTGCATGGGCGACGTGACGCACAGTGGATCGATTCAGTGGGAGAGGTCGGACAAAATTTGGAAACTTTAAACGCTTATAACTCCGTTTAAACAAAATTTTGAAGCTCTAAAAGTGTCTCCGTTGGTTTCCTCGTGAAATTTTTTTCAAAAAGTACCCCTTCAAATTTAAAATGTGACAAAATAAACGTCAGAATTTGCAGTTTTAGTCAAAAATGTTATGTCCGACCTCTCTAATTCATCCGTTCCTCTGTGCGACGGTGGACACACAACATTTGGTTTTCAACAACTGGCAGCAATGACGATCACATCCAAAATTCTGGACCCACCTCCCGAGGTGGCTCAAAAAGTGGATGGATTTGAATTTTGGCCAAGATTCATCAAGCAACTATATTTAGTTCTTGTCTTAAGAAGGGCGTTTTTCTCTTTGCGTTTGAACCTTGCCGGTTTGGTTGGAAAAATCGACCGAAGGCACCTGCGGAAATCCGCCCATTAAATTCGCGTGAAATGATTGTCTACTGAATCTAATTTGGGCGATTCTCTCGCTAGGAAGCATCCTCGCTATTCCACTCGTTGATGTATTGAGGACTTCGAAATTTATATATACAGCATATTGCATTATATTTTAATGCCGAAAAAATGGAATGTTTTTAATCCGCAAATTGCGTAATTTATCTTTTGCGATTGACTTCAGCAGAAAAGAAGGGGTCGTTTATAAAACACGTAATTCTGAACATAATATCACATTCAAAATATATTTTTTCGGGTTTTAGTCAATCATAGAAGAAGATGTGCGACTTGTGAAGCTACGAATTATATTCTACGGAAACGTATAATATTCTCTAAAAACGTGAATATTATCTAAAAATGCAAAAAAGTACCACGAGTAAGGTTTTTAGTTTCACTACATTGATGTAGATCCCCTCGCTATTTTAATCGCACTCGCACATGAAGAGGCTAATACTTTTCAATAGCTCTCGCTTACGCTTACGTGCCTCTGAAGTTAAATCAAAACAGACTCGCCTTCAATTGATAGGGTAGGCAAGATGGGCTCCTAGGAGTCGCAATAGTGGTATCTATCGTATTGCATGTTTTTGCCTATGCTATTTGAAGGCGCAGCCGTGTGAAACAACTCGCCGTGATTTTGCGGGGATACCATCATGATTTTCGGGTGTTTCTCTCTCTATTTTCAGGACCAATGATAGGCGGAGAGCTGGTGCGAGCGATAGGGTTTCCGTGGCTTCTCCGTGTCGTCGGTCTTTTGAATATCCTCTATTGCTGCCTTATCGTTTTTTGCGTCAAAAATAAACGAATTGAAGTAAGTAAAAGTCATTCCGCCTTTGGACTTGTTCATTATCCTAAAATATATGAATAGAGCTGCAGCTTGGGGCAGAACAGTAGGATCTTTTGCTCAATACTTTGCTTGCAAGAGAGCTACAAATCTTCAAAAACCAATCTGGGTATGAAACAAATGAGTGTTTTACTCTATTTTTTCACATTAATATCCATAATTGGACGTATTTCTATCAAACGGAACTATGTGCATTATGACGTGAGCCCTGTTACGCACATATTCTTATGGGTCTCGGGGCTCATGCCTTAATGCACATAGTTCCGTTTGATAGAAATACATCTAATTTTATTGTCTGCCCACGGCATCAAGAAACTAAAATACAGCCAGACAAGTTATTTAATTATCGACAAACTCAATTTCACGAGCAATTTTTAAAAAATATATACGTAATCCTATATTCTGCCGTGCTATGCAAGAACGGCATAAATCCATCAAGATTTTCCCTCGTTCTTTGGAACTTAACACTTTAAAACATAAAAACCGTTTTGTCCATGCACCTCAAATTTTTAAGTTAAGTTCTAGATATTATTTGTGAAAGAATTCTGTAAAAACATTTTCCCAAGGTACACAAGTTTTTCTGATATGATACGTTGTTTCCAAAAAATGTAAAATGGCGTTTACGGCGTTTCTGCGTTGCACGGCAGTATTATCCTGGCATCAAGTCACAGCGCTAGTCAGGATCGATCGTCGATATTTCCCTATTAGAGGCTATGATAAATAATCGATTATTGGGGTGTTCGTTGTGAACTTTCTGCTCATCGATCCTTTACCACAGATTTAAATGGTAGATCAATCGATATATCGAAGAGTACACCACGCCACTGACGCAAGTCTACATACCTTATTCCAAAAAAAAATATTTTTCTCTCGTGCTTCATCATAATAATAACATCATATTTTTTTTAAAAAAAAAAAAAAATATTTTAAAATTAATTGCCGATTTCAATCGAGAATTTTTTTAACTACATGGAAAAATATCCATGGCCAAAGTACGATACCGCGTATCTCCGTTTACGACGCTGCAAACTTACTGATATACTCATATTTACTCATATTTATATTTACTACTTTACTTTTACTACTACTTTACTTTTACTTACTTTACTTTTACTTACTTTACTTTACTTTTACTTTTACTTTTACTTATACTACTTTACTTTACTTTTTTTATTACTTTATATTACTCATATTAACTCATATTTTTTTTTTTTTTTTTGTTGACTTATTTCTATTTTATTTTTTCTTTGCAAATTTAGTTAACCAAATTTATTGAAAACTTCATTGATTTTTCTTTTCTGACGGATGAATATTCTGTAGAAATTTTAAGCAAGAATGCGGGCATGTTTCTCTACGAAAAAATGCAATTGAAGCGGAGATTTTGAAACACCGCAAAGGAGATACGCGGTTTTGCACATTGGCCATCAACATTTTAACTTACAAATAGACGTATTTATGCTAAATGGAACTATGTGCAAGTGTAAAAATGGGGTATGTTCGTTAGTGCTCGGGCCATAAGAATGAATGGGAAATATAAAGCACCAGTGACGTCAGCGGCAACGACGAGAGAAATGACGATCGGAAAGGCGATTTTAACTCATGAGCCCTGTCCACAAGGCTCTTGTCACATTTCCACGGCTCACGAGTTAGCGCTCAGTTCCTTTTGGTTTAATTGAAAATCCCGCCTTTCCATTTTCTCAAAAGGAACTATATCCGCTTTTACATTTTTCCTTCCCCAGCTTCCACGAGCACACGCCATCTTTCCACTTGCACATAGTTCCTTTTCGCATAGATACATCGAACTGATCCGCACATAGATCCATGGTAAAACTTTAAGAGATGTCAGACGCTGAACTTACTTTGCTTTCTGAATAAATCAAGATTTTTTTTTTTAAAATTAATGTAACATTTTTATTTTATTTTTATAACTTTTCTTTTTTTGTAATATTTCTAGTGATATTTTCTGATTTCAGGATGATATGTTGAGAGTCCAGTGGGTAAAATATACGAGCTACAGAACTGCGGAGTCGAGTGAAAACGGGTCAAATGAAAATGTTAACCAGAGAGGACCTCCATTTCAAAGGTTCATCAATGGTGACGACAGTGATTGATTTGGTTCCGAAAGCCAGAAAAAAATATCTGAAAAAATACCTGAAAATTGTCCATTCTTTTGTAAAACTACCCAACGAACGGCGTAGGCCATGGAACTATTTTTAGACTAGCTAAGGTACCCTCGATCAATAGAGAAACAGAAACACATAATGTGAGGAATAGAAAAATATAGCACTTTATTTTTGATTAGCACAAGACAAATTTGTGTTTGAACGAAGTCAAGCGAGTACATTCAAATCAATTATGTTTATAGTCGAGTATTCTAAAAAGAAATTGTACAAACTTGTGTTTCGCAACAATGTGATAATAATCAAAAATATTCGCACGGTAACAAACGACGGAGCAATTACTTAAATTAATGGAGCTGTATACAAAAATTCTGTAGGATTCAGGAAAAGGTATCAGCATTATTTGGGGTCTAAATTAATTTTAAAAAGACAAAATATCCGTGTAGAAATGAAAACAGGGTCTTAAATCATAGTATTTTAAATCCTTAACTTTAAGAATTCCTCCTTAAATCCATCATTGTTGATAAATATACAGTAGAGCTCTATTGAACACAATAATTCTAATCGGCAACAAGTCTAAAAAAAAAAGAGTCAAAATATGAAAATGGCGACTGAAACGTTCCCTTTCTTAAAACATTATTTATCATAGTTTCTTACGCCATGGTTAAAATAGCACGGCGGTAAACTTATATTTGTGTAATCAAGTAACGGAGTGATTTTATTGGTACTTATGCTTTTATTTTATCCGTCGAATAATGTGACTAAAACGTATTATTTCATAAATAAAATTAAAACATTTAATCAGCGTCCTGCTTAATATTCATCATCCTACTGATTTTTGTCATTCCCTATCGTGTAGTTTCCAGAGTATTTCTCTCTTATTTCGTAAGTAAAAGAGGAAATGTCATTAGCGGATTCAGCAAATTGGCAACATGATTCTTCTCCTTTAAACCCATGGAAATGTATCGATTCTTGGAGGGGCCAGGTGCTCCGACAAGAATCGATCATTTAGCATAGGTTTAAATGGAGGCAATCCGGTGTTGCCAAATTGCTGGATCCGCCACTGAACGTGGGCGGATCCAAGAGGGGGGGTGTAGAGGGCGTACCCCCTTCCCCGCTTGACCCCCAAAAATTGAGGGGGAAAGGGGGAGAAAGAAACGGGGATGGAACGAACGAAAACAGAAGGAAGGATGCCTATATTTGGTAAACATTCATGACGATACTGACTCACGCTACATATTAGATGCTTTGAAATGTCAAAAATTTTCTGAGGAAAGCCTTCCGCCCCCGCCCCCTCCCTTCCACACTCCTCTTCCGACGTTCTGTATTTCCCGAGCGAGGCAGACTAAAATTGATTCAGGAATTGGAAAAGGTTGTCGGCTGGAAAAAAAATTCCTAAAGAGAAGAAAGCCTCCAAAACTTGAAAAAATCTGAAAACATTACCTAAAGTTTATCAAAATATGCCGGTTAAATAGTGAATTTTAAAATGCAGGGAGCAGGAAAATTTGCCCGACGCCCCCCTTGCAGATTTACTCCCGCTCCATGGTAAAAACGACTTGAGTTCTGTTCGTTATTTCGCCTCACTTCGTCGCTTTCTCGAACGAAGGAATGTAACCACATTCCAAAGCTACAAAATTGTTTCTAACAATTCTATTATTTATAAGAATATACCTGTAAAAGTTTTGTCAAAAATTCTTTGATTTTTGCATGAGATCGGATGAATAATCAGTGAAATTTTTAGTTGGAAGGGCCCAAAAATTACAGGTGAAATTGCAATTTGCAACGGAAAATTTGGCAGCATTGAAATGTAGTTACGTGGGGAAAATCACTAAGTAGGGACGAAAAAAGGAGTGAACTTTCATAGTTGGACATTGTTTAGCAACAACAATAATTTTTCTTCTATCAATCCCGAGGATTCCCAAAATTTCATACTAAGTCCCGAAGGCTTTGCATCACGAGAGAGATATTTGTGTAAAATAAGGACGTGATATGATTGAAGAAATGTTGCATCGAATCTGCTGCCAGCTGCAGCAATATCACTGTTTTGTAAAGTCTGTTATAAAGTTTGGAATGATTCTTTCGGGAAGATTTCCACGGTGCATAGTCCCTTATCTGCAAAAAGAGGGAAGATTAGGCGCTACAGAAAATATCAAAATGACATATTACTATTACAATTTTAATGATTTTGGTTTAGTGCAGTCTTTGATCAATCAGTCATGAACAATGCTCGGAGTTTTTGAAAATTTTTGTACAGTTTTACAAAATGCTTTTTTTTTCACCGTAAAATATCTTGTTATGTTGCAGAGCAACGGGAATTCTTAATGGTGGAAATCATTTAAAATTCGTATTTTGCCTCCCCATGACGAGAAAAGTCGTAAGTTGTTAACACTTGATGAGTGTCACTGTTATCACATTGTATACAGAATGGACTTAAGGGTTTGAGAGCATAACAGCCGTGCTAGTGCTGGACTGCTGGGCCTCTCCTCGATTCTAGATTATCGGAATCTCAGTTGCACCGCGCCACAACATCGCATGTTGGGTCCGGCACCCGCGAGATAACTATTCGTACTCCTAGGATGCGCGGGTTGCGGCTCGACTCAGTTGAAGGCGTTCACCGGACCGAGTCAGATCCATTCTCCTGAAAGGCTTTGATCGGGATTCAGCGGTGAAACGTAAATCATCGGGTATCGCTACTTTCTCGTTTGAAGATCGATAATGTTGAGGATCGGTAATGGGCAGTTTTGTCGTCCGAATGGAGCGGTTATTTAATTTTCGGGAAATTTAATGTTGATCAGCTCCAAATGAGTATCACACGTAGAGAAAAACCGCGATTACAAGGACTGAATTTCAAATCATCATGAGAAAAAAGTTTAGTTGTATGAGCCGGAGTACGGCGTTTTGTACTGCCGTGATAAGAAAGAACGCCGTATGAACATTCGAGGGTTGCAAAATTTCAACCGATAAAATTTTTATACTTGAGGAGAGATATGAATAATTTATTTTGATTAATTTTCAGGTAATTTAGATCCAAATAAAACTCTCCAAAAAATTTCAGGAAAAATTTTCACAGATTTCACCGAGAAAAGAAACTGGTAGAATTAACCATTCCTCCATGCTGTATTTTACACAGCGTGGATTCAAAGTCGATTCTGCCAGTGGAATGTTTACCTGTACCAGTATATAGCAACGTTTACCTTCCTTCTGGCAGAATTGACTCTGAATTGACGCTGTGAGAAATACAGCGTGTAGGAATGTTAAATTCTACCAATCTTTTTTCTCGGTGTTCCCTGAAAATTCATATGTTTTATCAAAGGAAATGCGGCAACGGCAGCTTATTTGGCATTTTTCCTTATTAGAATGACAATAAAGCTCTCAATTTGTTTCAATGTACTTTTATTAAAGCTTCTGATGAATGAAGGAGGAAAGGAACATTTTGCGATTTTCAGAAAAACGGAAATAGTATGCATAAAAGTCCCAATGATTTTTAGGCTCAATAAGTTTTAATTGAAGTTAAGGAGCCAGAGTTTAAGTTGTTAGGGTAATTTGCTTTCTTTCTCTCTTTATTTCTCTTTTTCTTTCTTTCTTCCGGGTGTCGGTACTAACCCGATATGTGTTTTTTTTTTTTTTTTTTTTTTTTTTTTTTTTTTTTTTTTTTTTTTTTGTGTAAATTTTTACTTATATTTCTTTCCGACTGAAAAAGGCCGTGGTGCGTTTCCAGTCAAAACTTCTTGGTGAACAAGGTGGAGGAATGGTGCTGGGTCCACACCATATCGTGGGGAAATCAAAGCCAAGAAGTTCCAAAAATTATAATTAGAGAAAAAAAAATTATTTATTTAACTCTAATAAATATCTACTAAATATAGCTCTAATAATTGTAAATACTTACTTAAGTGCTGTGGCAATAAAATAACACTAAAATATGTTAGTGTATACTCTAATTATAATTTTTGGAATGACTCTACTTTTTTTTTTTTTTTTTTTTTTTACTCTGGTTATATAATTTTGGAACTTCTGGGCTTTAATTTCCCCGCAAAATGGTGTGAACCCAGCACCATTTCTCCACCTTGTTACATACAGTTCAAACTACTTATTAGTGTTTTTCTTTCTCTCTCTCTCTCACTTCTTGGTAAATGTGTTATTTTCTGGCTTTGTTACCGTAGCTGCATTTTTTTAAAAACGTGTGTCTCGTCACGGGCTGCTCAGTTTTCAACATGTCTCATGTGTTCTTTTGGTAGACGGACATGATCCCCTTGAAATTTTGCCTCGATGGATTAAGGTTCATTCCTCCTCGCCAACGGTGACACATCGACGGTGTAAGTCGGCAATCACATAACTCGGTTTGCGACGTCGCAGACTTCCTGCCATATTTTATTTTTTAAACGGAAAACTACTCAACGGCAATTCTCTAAAACTGCCGTGATTTTTCTTCTCTGTACAAAGAAAATTCTGCATAAACTTCAAGAGATGATGACAATTTATTCTCCTTTAAAAAAATAACATAGAGGCGAAGATTTTCAAACACCGCAAACGAAATATCGACGGTGAAACTGTCAGACCACGTATCTCGTTTGCGGTGTTTAAAAATCTCCACGTTTTATTTTTTTGAAGGAGATCAAATCAATATCATTCCTTACAATTTTCACAGAGTTTTCTTTGCACAGAGAGGAAAAATCACGGAAGTTTTCACAAATTGACATTGAGTAGTTTTCTATTTAAAAAATAAAGTATGACAGGAAGTCTGCGACGTCGCAAACCGAGATACGTGGTTTTGGTAGTTGCACCGTCGATATGTGATTGCCGACTTACGCCGTCAATATCCACCATTTTCCAAAATCGTCACCTACCTCTTTCATTGACCTGCCCGTAGTCCATGGGAAAGTCCGCCTGGACAACCCTGAAAATCCATTTAAAACCTGGTGACTTTCAACGGTGACGGCGGGGTTCCATACCTTTCATAGGTGTTCTCCGGCGTCCTTGACGTGGTCGGCTCCAACTTGGACGTGGAAGGGGTCGTCGGGCGCTCCATGTAATAATTGGGGTTCATCTGCCCCGATTTGATCGTGTTCCCCTGGCCCACCGTATCGTACAGCGCCTGCGTGGACCTGTACTGGGTCACGTCCAAAACACTCGAGGAATTGGTGAAACCCAACGTGGGCAACGACGCCGTAATATTATCCCGCACGATGCCGGTGAGCATCAGATACGTGCGCGGGATGAAGATGAGTATGAGGACGCCTGTTGCCGACGCGACGAGTCCAGAGAGCGCTGCCATCTCTTTGATGTTCGGGATCCCGGTGGTGGAGGGGTCGTAGAACTGGTAGATGGAGATCCAGACGAACCAGACGATGGCGAGGAAGATGACGACGATGGTGAGGTAGAGGCCCTCGTTGTAGTTGCGCCGGGACTTGTAGATGAACGGGGCGGTGATGATGCAGAGGATGAGGAGGAAGGTGTTGTAGATCTGGAAGTAGAGGGACATGTTGGAGTTCTCGATGCAGATCTTCAGGTCGTAGCGGGCGTTGAAGATGTAGAGCTCCACGTTGACGCAGATCTGGACCAGGAGGATGAAGAACAGCAGCGTTACCTAGATTATAGAAACCAAGGTCCAATTTTATTTTCTTATTTGCAAAAAGTAGACAAATTTGGAGCAATCAGGCACCTTGGTAAAAATTGGCGATAGGAGCTGCGTTTCGAAATACCATAGGAATTCTTATAGTCGACTGAAGAAGGCGATAGAAAATCATATAGCTGGCTGTAGGAAGTGAAAAAAATCATGCGGCCGGACTACACGAAGCGATACAAAATTGTACAGCCGGGCTATAGTTCCTATCGCCGGGCTTTACACTTTATCGTCTGGCTGTTGCTTTTTCGCCATCGGCTATAGAAGGCTATAAGAAATTGTGTAGAAATTCGTGTGCTTATTGGAAATCATTAAGTTTGATACGGAGCCACCTTGATATTTACAAAACGCACTTTATATTTTCCTTTACTGCATATTTTTTTTCATCAATTAAAATGAGAATAATCCATACAGAGTGTGCAAACATTTCAAAGTCATGAGTTGAAAAACGCTGACTCCACAATATTAAATATTAGAGCCAAACAAAGCGGAGCGGCGGCGCAATGGCGCCTACAAACCTAACAGGGATACTTCACGCATTGCGCAGTGCGTGAAGTATCCATGTTAGGTTTGTAGGCGCCAATGCGCTTTTCGCGCTGGCTGCCCGCCCGCCGCGCCGCGCCGCAGCGAACCACGGCGCTCGAAGCAACTATTTCGCACCAGAGGTATTGCACAGTATTATACGAAATTAAAGGCGCTCCAACATATTAGGAATGGCAGGCATCCTTCAAAAGTACGGAGCTTTCCTCGCAAAATAAATCAAGATACTACGGCCCATAAAGAGAGCGGTAGTCCAAAAACTCACTAAGTCCTAGCATTCGTAATTAGCAACGTTTAGTATACACTTTACTGCCAGGCTGTTGCTTAATCGCCATCGGCTATTAAAGGATATAAGAAATTGTGTAGCCGGCTATAGAAGCTATTGGAAATCTTACAGCCGGCTGTAGGTCTATGGTATTTTGGAACACAGATTCTTCTGCCAATTTTTACCAGTGCACCTTAACCTAGACATTAAAGATAATCATATCAGCCCCTGAACTTTAGCTAATTTGACCTTAAAACGTTCTTTTCTGGGCTGTAAAATCAGCCGAACATTTAGGAGAGGCCAGTGACGCCATTTGTGCCTTTGCCATTTAACCATTGCTAATAGAAAACACTTATACGTCGCTCTGGAATTGATTTCCAGACTTACATCGGGCTGATTGTTAAAATTGTTAGACAAAGCTATAGACACAGAAGACGACCCAGGGATATGGAGGGATCCTAATGGTGGAATCGGATGGTTGCGATGGGCATAGGAGGTAGGTATGTCTAACTAATGATAACACACGGGAGACCCGATAGTTAGTTAGTCCATCATTTTCTCCCTTAGTCTTTAGGAACCTCACATTTCAACCAATAGGATAGCTCCATACTCCCTATGTCTTTTTTGTCTGTCGCTTTGTCTACCGATTTCAACATCAACCTGCAGAGGACTGATCATCGAAACTGATAGACTAAGTTATAGACAAAGAAGCAAAGGGATAATGTTGCGATCCTATCAATAAAAGCGGATGGTTTTTATAGACAAAGGGTGAAAATGATTGACTAACTATAGGATCTGGAAGCGGTTGTCTGTCACTGTGTCTATCGATTCCAACAATCAACCCGCTGTTGTGTGATTTGTTATCCTTGTTGAATTTTGAAGACAAACCACATGCGCCGTGGTTTATTTCATCCCTTGTCTAGAGGCCCATTTATTTTTAAACGGTTATTTTTTGCATAAATACGCTTCCAACTGGAAAGAAGATCTGAGGAGGAATTTATGAATACCTGAATATATCCGTCAATGTGACTCAAGAAGGACCCATCCCGATCGCAGTTGGATAACATGAGACTCCGAGCGAGGATGATGCCGAAAAGGAGGTTAAAACTCGTGCTCATCATGATGATCTTTGCCAGACACAGAATGTTCTGCACGTACAGGACGCTCTCCGACGACTTATGGTAGATGAAGACTTCCTCGTTTTGAGGGAGGGTGCTGTAGGCGAGATCCCCGTCATCGGTGACCTGGAATCATAATGACGATGATTTATTTATCTGGATCAATTTAATTTTATGGAAGGCTGCAAAATTGGTCTGTTACTTTTATTGTTAGCAAAATCGCCCAGTCACTCCGCAGACTAGGCGAATTTTTTGTACCGTCCCACAGTGCGGATCGAATCAAGCAGAGAGGTCGGACATGAAATTTTTGACTGAAACTGCAAATTTTGATGTTTAATTCGTCACTTTTTCAATATTAAAGGGTGTTTTAAAGGATAATTTCACAAGGAAACCAATGGAACCCTTTTTAAAACCTCAAAGTTTTGTATGAACGGAGTTATAAGCTTTTAAAGTTTCCACATTTTGTCCAACCCCTCCCATTGACTCGATCCACTTTGCGTCCGTGGACAGGTCATCCCCGTTGCCCAGTCCGCGAACTGCCCGAAGTTCATGATCATTCCGTGAACTGGGCAACCAGTCCACAGTCTACCACTCAAAAGTCTGAACATTTCTTCAAGCTACAAGAAGACCCAATAAAATTTAATTTTATAAATTAATAATAATAATTAAAAACATTTTGTAAATTAATTTTACAACTTATTTATACTTTATTTTTCGGAATCCTTTTTAAGCATTGAAAGAGTAACGATTCTTTTATTCTTTTGAAAATCTGATATTTATCTAAAGAATTGGATGAAATAATTTTTTACCTTCAGAACGAAGGGCAAGACCGCACAATAGGTAAAGATCACAGCCAGCAACAAGAGCATGGTGAGAAGAGGGTTGCCTTCCAGAATATCCTTTTTCAATATCCTAACGACGATGAATGTCCCGACGCACAAGCTCAGAATAATCCCAATAACCGATATCGTCAACAGAACAACAACGTAGACATCGGTTTTGACGCTGAGCCGCTTCAAAAATTCCCAAATCCGTCTCCCGCTCGTCACGACCTCTGGCTGAAAATTCACGCACTCGGAGCAGTTGGTGATGGCGCAGATATTGTAAGACGTCGCGTTGGGTTGGACCTCCCTCCCGTTCTTGCTCATGTACCATTCGCTGTGCTCGGCGTCGAAGTTGAACTCGAAGAGGATCTCACCGTAGGCACTTTCCACGTTCAGGCCATTGATCAGGACGTTCTTCTCGAACTTGAGGAGCCGCGCCACGCTCGCGATCTCCTCGTCGAGGCTGCTGGTTGACGTCACCGCGGTACGCTCCGATTTGCCCCCGCACGAGCTGTTGTGCGTCTCGTAGAAGCATCGGATGTTGAAGTCCATTTTGAACTGCTCGATCATCTTGATGACGCTCCGCGCGACCCGGATCAACCCCAGGTTGATCTTGATCAACTCCGTGTCCTCGCTGAAGAACGCACGGAATTTGTCAGCGGGATCGGAGGACTCTATGGGAGAGTCCTCTATGTACTCTTTATCGTCCATGGTGGTCAAAGTTGACTCGGTGGTTACGCCATCTAGATCGATAAGAGGGGTCGTCTGCATATCCACTTCGACTTCTTCTGTGGCGGATTCTGTGATGTCTTCGACGCCGGAGATGCCACTAGGTGGCAAGATTTCCGGTGAGTCGACGGTCTCTTCGGCAATCTGGTCCTCGACGGGTTCTATCTCTTTGATCTCCACCTCCCTGGAACTTCCGTTCGTGATGACTCTGGCGGTGATCTCGAGGCGGATTTCCGTCGCGTGCGTTGCCGAATTGGGCAGTCGCTTGGCGGTCCGCTCCGCTTGCACCACTTCCGGTGGCGGCTCCATCCTGATCGTGTTGATGTAGTATATCCGCGGCTTCTCTACCTGTCTGTAGATTGTGCTGTCCACGCTTTCTCCGTCGTCTTCTTCCGAGTGTTTCCGGTCGATCACTTCCGGTGGATTCCGGAAATGGGCCTCCGTGGACTTCTGGATATCCACGTTGTGTAGGTTTTGTTCCACCACTTCCGGTTCGTCGTGCGGTTTCTGGTCGGCTTTTTCAGTCGGCTCCTGGAAAAAAATTTAACGTCTTCTTAGTATCAATTGTTTCACAGTGCATCGACGGTGTAAGCCGGCAATCACATAACTCGGTTTGCGACGTCGCAGACTTCTTGCCATACTTTATTTTTCAAACGGAAAACTACTCGACGGCAATTCTTTAAAACTGCCGCGATTTTTCTTCTCTGTACGAAGATAATTCTGCAAAAACTTCAAGGAATGATGTCAATTTGTTCTCCTTTAAAAAAATAACACAGAGGCAGAGATTTTCAGACACCGCAAACGAGATATGTGATTGCCGACTTACACCGTCGATATATCATTTTTATCAAAACACTAAACTTTTACGTTTTGATAAGATTCTTGTTAATTTATTCATTCGTGTAAATTCGTAGGATTATAGACTTTTGATTCATTCCGAGGAAAATCCCGTACTTTTAAAGGATGTCTGTCGTTCTTAATATGTAGGAGCGCCTTTAATTTCGTATGATACTGTGCAACACCTCTGTTGTGAGACAGTTGCTTGAGGTGCCGCGCCGCGGCACGGCGAGCGGGCGGCCAGCGCGAAACGCGCATTGGCGCCTACAAACCTAAGTGGATACCTCAAACATTGCGCAGTGCGTGAAGTATCCACTTAGGTTTGTGGGCGCCAGTGAGCCTCTCGCGCTGGCAGCACGCTCTGTTTGGTGCTAATATTTTAACTCGCAGAAGCCGCGTTTTTCAACTCATGATTTTGAAATTTTTGCACATTCTACATGGATTGTTCTTATTTAAATTTATGAAAAAAAAAATATGAATCAGAGTAGAATATCGATGGTGTAAGTTGGCAATTACATAACTCGGTTTGCGACGTCGCAGACTTCCTGCCATACTTTATTTTTTAAACGGAAAACTACTCGACGGCAATTTTTTAAAACTGCCGTGATTTTTCTTCTCTGTGCGAAAAAAATTTTGCAAAAACTTCAAGGAACGATGTCAATTTGTTCTCCTTTAAAAAAATAACATAAAAGCAGAGATTTTCAGACACCAACACAACGAGATATGTGATTGCCGACTTACACCGTCGATATATCATTTTTATCAAAACACTAACCTTTTTCGTTTTGATAAGATTCTTGTTAATTTATTCATTCGTGTAAATTTGTAAGATTAGACTTTTGATTTATTCCGTGACTTTCCTCTAGGAGCACAATTTTTCGAGTGTATTTAGCCCCGAAAAACTTTGCAACTATGGCCGACGTCCGATTCCGGCTGCTGAAAGCTTGACACAATTAAAGCGAGCCTCGAGCAGTTTCCCCGAATTTCGGCAGCCGAAATCATGCAGAAATCTTCGTTCCAGCTGCCGAGCTTGGGTGTTTTAGACTATATTTTTGAAGGTCATTACGTGGACGAATTGTGATTCACTAATGAAATAACTGGCAATGAGAATGGGTCACTGAAATGTATACCTTTTCTGCCTTCACTCACTCGCCAAGACATCGATGAAGAGCATCAACCACATTATCAATATGCTTGTCTGATTTTCAATCTCACGGAATCAGTTTAGACCGGAAATGACATAACGACCACTACGTCAATATTTATCTGCAAAATGCCATAATTTGACTTCATTTTTGATTTATATAAAATGCGTTATCTATATAGGTTATGCTCCTCCTACAAAGATACTCTAATTTAAAGTAGCAGAAAATTGACAAAACTTTTACCGTGATAAAAAGAAAAAAACGCCGTATGAACATTCGAGAGTTGCCAAATTTCCTCCAGTGAAACGTATATTTTTGAGGAACAATATTTTCTGTTGAAATTTTCAGATAATTTAGCTTTAATTACGAAGAAAGTTCCTTGAAAAAATTGACCGGCAGATGTTCACGGGTTTTTCTGAAAATTCGTATTTAATCAAAGGGACTTTAGCAACTGACGAAAGTTCATACGGGGGTTTTCCTTAGCACGATAGACTTGAAAAACCTACCGCAGATGAGTGTGTGCTTTGTGCTTCCGAAGTCGCCTTCCCATCATCCGAGGTCGATGTCTCTTCAGCTCCGCTGGTCACACCCTCATCGTGAGTCACGGTGGATTCTTGACTGTCCTCCACCGATGACCCCCCAGTCATCTCTCCCGCAGTCGATTTCCGGTCATCATCTCCCGATGACGTCACTTCCTGCGACGACGTCGCGTCCTGTGAGGCCTCCGACACCGTCACTTCCTGCGACGACGTCACGTCCATTTCCGCCGAATCGTCGGCATTTCCGGTCGTCTCTGCTTCCTGTTCCTCCTCGACGTGGATGATATCGTCGAGGTTCTTCATCCCTCCGTTGTGGAGGAGCTCGAAGAGGATCCGCAACTTGTCCACCTTGTTGATCTCGGACTTGGAGAGGACCTCGTTGAACTTCTGCCGGTTGCTGTTCCCGTGTCCGAGGAAGGTTTCCGACGAGCCCGTTTCCGGTCCGGCGGTTTCCGGCGAGTCGTTTCCGGTTCCCTCGGTGGTTTCCGGTAGCTCGGAGTGATCGGCATCGCGGTGCGTTCGGGAGTTGTTGGCGCTTCGGACTCGGAATATCGAGTTCTCGATGGACATGATGTGGTGGTTCTTGATGAAAGCGACCTCTGGAAGCATCGGAGAAAACAGATGTTGATATTTTGAAAGTTTTGTTGGGAAAAGTTATTAAGGTGATTCGATGGACGCCATATTTTGTGTCGAAACGATATGCGATATATCGCATCGATTGATTCAATTTTTTTAGCTACTCGTCATTTTTCTCGAATTTTGAGATCGCAATTCTGTCGTCAGGAGACTAAAAAATGCACCCACCAATTTTGACAAACAAATTCAACGTAGGCGTGGTTTTTTTAGAGAGAAAATATCGCATTCAAAAGCAGTTTCGATATCAGTATCGAATGCGATATTTTTCGTCAAAAAAACACGCCTTTATTACTTTGAATTTGTTTGTCCAAATTGGTGGGTGAATTATTTTTTCTCCTGACGACAGAATTGCGATCTCAAAATTCGAGAAAAATGACAAGTATTCGAAAAAATGTAATACATCGTTGCTATATATCGCATGTCATTTTGATGCAAAATATGGCGTCCATTGAATCACCTTGAAGTTAGTTAGCACCGTGGTGGCTGAAGGCAGAATCGCAGGACTTTGTGATTCGACGGTTGCGATTTTTTTCTTCAGAGTGACGTGCTATATATCGCATCAATCCTTTCCAGAATTTCAGCTCCTTGTCATTTTTTAGGAATTTTGAGATCCCACTTTTCTTGTCAGGAGACTAAAAAATTCATGTACCTTTGACAAATAAATTCAACGCAATAAAGGCGTCGTTTTTTTAGAGGAAAAATATCGCATTCGAGTGCAGTTTCGATATCATGTATCGAAAGGGATATTTTTCCTCCAAAAAAATCAAGCCTTTAATACGTAGGATTTCGTTGTACGAGAATTTTTTAATCTCATGACGAAAGAAGTGGGATCTCAAAATTCGAAAAAAATGGCAAGCAGCTGAAATTATGGAACGGATCGATGCGATATATCGCACGTCGCTCTGACGCAAAAAATGGTAACCGTCGAATCACCTTAATAAGGGGAGTATTCACGGTTCCCAGGGGTTCAACACCACGTCTGTGAGAGTGTTTTCTAAGGGTCAAATTAGGAAAGTATTTTAGATAAAGTTTTTTTCCCCAGAACGGTCTCCCGTAATGGCTATATCCCTCCTTTTCCTTCCCTCTTTGCTAAGGAAATTATCGTTTTTCAGGATTTTGGCGATTTTTATTGACCATACCACATGAAAATTGCTCCTCCCCATGATTTCAGCGCCGAAAGTATCGATGATCTTAAGAATATCAAAATCTCAAATTAAAGAAACCGTAGGTTTCACGGAGGAAATGTGTTCACTTCGCTTTTATAGCAAGTGCAGGGCCGGATTTAGGAAGTGGCCACAAGGGCCGCGGTTCACGGCGCAAAATTCAGGGGGTGGCAAATTTTGCAATTTTTTTAAATGTAGGTATAAAAAAAATTGGATTCAGAAAAAAACTACAAACGAGAGAAGGCAACAAAATCTCTTATTTCCTGAGAGTGTAGTAATTTCTAATTTTGTCGTCTTTTGGTGATACAAGAGACAGCACCCTTAATTAGTCGAGTTTTAAGAGAAACCAAACACGCAATTTGGCCCAGAGCGGCGCGGCGAGGAAAGCAATGATGACGAGGACTTGAGATAAAAAGGAGAAGCCCTCAGCGCGGTGCGCGGTGGCGGTCGGCATGTAACACATATTAGCGCCTTCAAGCCTGCATGAATACTTCTTGCATTGCGTCAAACACAGTGCGGTCAGCAGCGAGCGGTCGGCGTGAAACGCATAGCGCCTGCAAGACTGTAGGAATACTTCAAGCATTGCGCCCAACACAGTGCAGTCAGCGCGGCGCGCGCGGCAGCGGAAGTTAAAATTATTAACCCACATACATGTTTGTTCCTCCACAATGTTTTCGTTCATTTCTCATAAATGGAAGACATTGTTCACACAAAGATAGGTTTTTCGCGCAAAGTTCCGTGAACTTTTGCTAGTAATGTTGACAGAGCTTTCGTAAAAAAATGCGTTCAACACGAGTAAACGCGTCTTATGCACCCCTTCCCTTCCGGCAAGTTCACTTGATGGTTTTTATTGATGTCTCAAAACGAATGAGAAGGGGGTCAGCAAAATATAGGCGGCCCATGGGCGGCAAGTAGGTAAATCCGGCCCTGAAGAAGTGCACATATCGCATGAAACAAAGTCCCTGGGAATATTAAACCAGAGCTCGAAAAATCTGCATTGAAACGAGTTTTCTTTTTATTGAGAGAATAACTGGATTCATTTTCAAGGAGTCGCAAAATTTTGCACTTAATCAGACCAAATGTTGGATTTGAGATCGGGGCTTCTTGAAAAAGTTTTTGGAGTGTTTTCACACCTAGATTCAACCAAGCAGTAGGTAGGTAATCCAAGTAGTAGCCAAGCAGTTTACCTAAGCAATAAGTTTAGCAAATGTAGGTTTTCCTTCGTTCGTAGATAAACTTGCCGGTAATACAACTGGAAACTTTTTTCCTAACTCTAAGAGTTTTGATCTTTTTTTTTTTTTTTTTTTTTTTTTTTTTTTTTTTTTTTTTTTTTTTTTTTTTTTTTTTTTTTTGCTGCATTATTTTGAATGAAACTAGCGCTCAGAGTAACTTTGCATAGGGCGAAGCGTAATGAAAGAAAGTGTACTGCTCAAAAATTATTTTCGCTTACCTGACATGTTTAGTCGACCAGCAAGTGGAACCAAAATACAGTTTGTGAGCCTCGGGAAGTGTTTTAATTTAGATTGAATGTATTGAGCTGATCCTGCGATTATCAGAAACCCATCGCTTGATGTTATTTTCAGGTCCCTTTAAAGAGAAAAAGTAGAGCCATGAATGGCAATTGATACTGATTAATGTACCCAAAAGTTTTTGCGCTATGTATAGGTCGCTGGATGTTGCTTCCTATTACTCAAATCTCTACCTCAATATTGGTACTTTTCGACGTAATTCATTCTTGTATCAGAGCAACGTCCAAATTTTTCATGACTGAACGATGAACCGCGCCAGATTCAATTTATATTATTTCATAAAGAAATTAAAGTACTAATTAAAAATGAATAAAGTTTATCCTTATATAAGGCTGCCTTTAAAGTCGCTCCTATAACGCACTCTGGCGTTCTGCGACACCCAAACGCCACATATGCATGTCCTCCCAGAGGTTATCGGGCAACTGACACCGCAACATATCTTCGTCAACGCCCTTCATGTTCACCCTTAAAGTGGTAATTTTGGCGAAAATCATACCTAGAGGCAACTTTTTACAAAAGTTTGCGCCATGTAGAATTGTAACGGTTTTTGGCTGCAATCTTTTTATGCGTTTAAAAAGAATTTTTTTTTGAGGCTGAATAGATTGACCCCGAACTGAGAGACCCGCTGATAATCGAGACTCTACTGTACACAGAGAGAATAAATTTCAACATAAAAGTTAGGTTATTACGGGAAGTAAAACACAAAATAACCCTAGCCTTCGGTTGACAATTTCAGGAGAAAATACCAGCTAGCTTTCTTGAAGAAATTTAATTAGAAAACGAGTGGTGAATACCAGTTTTGCAATCGGAGGAACACACTTTCCCAGTCTCTCCATTGATTTCTGCGGTAAACTCACCGAAAATACTGTACCGAAATCAACACAAAATTTGTGTTGGTTTGTGTTTCACTTCCAATGGAATGTATTCGATAGTGATTCGATGTATCGTTTGGTTCAAAACAACAGAACATAACCTCAAACCAAAATTTTAAGATATTTGTCAAAAGAACTGAAAATGAGAAATTTCGTAGCAATTTTACTACTCTTGGCCAATTTGCACTCATACAAATCAAAAATATATCACCAAAAACCCGTTCCGTCAGATTTCTCTTTTGACCTTTGAGGCTACGTTTATGTTTTGAACCGATTGATATCGATACAATCTCACCCGTTTGATGTATCGAATTCAATCTATATTAACCAAAGGTAACACAAATATTTTTCTCAGTGTAGCATTGAAGGGTGATTTCTGGAACGTACTCAGCAGTATCCATATCGGTAGTTTTTTTCACGCAAATTTTCCTTTTCGTGATAGCGCTCACGAGTCCTTGTGAAAAATCCACATCGTCTGAGATGATGACGTCAACGACTTTCTTTCCCAGGACTGTGAGGAGCTCAACGGTGGAATCGATAAGGACTTGGGTGTCCACCGGTTCAGGCACCACGCTCAGATTCAGTTGCAGCGCTTGCGATAAATTTTTCAACTCCTCCGCTATTCTCGCCGTTGTGAGGATTCCTGGAAGAAAAATATCAAAGGAAATAATCATTCGAATTTTTCCTCGCGACCCGAGTAGAGGTGATCGCGATAAGTTGTGATTTATTCGTGTATCGCGATTTCATGTGTCAATTTATCGTAATATTATCTAATAAATAATTGCGACCATTTCATTAATATTTGCGATTTTATCGACGGCGATGTATCGCAATATTATCGAACAAGCAATAGTGATAAATTGAGTTAAAATTTCGATTCTGTCGAAGGCGATTGTATTGAGATAGAATTGCGATGAGATCGAGGATAATCGCTTAGGTGATGATGATCCTGGCGATTTTATTGCCAAAAATTCTAATAAAAATCGCAGCTTAATTTTAAAAAATTGTGATTTATCCGTTGAAAAATGTTACTTAGGAAAGGGCTCGTCTTGACAAGGCACTCTTATCGAGCAATAATAAAATTTTAAAAAAAATCTCTAGTAATTTTTTTGAAATAAAGTTCTAAGATACTCATAAAAATAACTAAGCTCGGGGGCGCGTGGCGAGCCTGTTAAAGCTGCTGTGAATGACAAACAGGAAAAATATTGTGTGTGTGTGTTGTAAAGTGCCTACCCTTCATATTGAAGGCATTTTATAATGTCCGGCTATGTACAGACTACTAGGAAGATTGAGAGTGTATGGTGAATGATGATTCATTTGATCATTTTCCCCTGGGATAAACCAATTTTCCAAGGGTGAATTTTAATAGAGTCACTTGTGAGTGTATTAACTTGATTAGCTATCAAAATATGTGGTATGTAAATGCAAGTACACTGAGACAGCGTGCTTGTAACATTTCCAACAAAAAAACATCCCACGGAAAAAATTATCTCATCACAAAACAGAAGGCTGAAATTAATTTAATATCTGATTTGACTCTAGTAGACTTCGATTTTTCGGCAAAGAAAAATTTGAGTTTAAGGAACAAAGGAAATGCTCGCTGCAAACGAGTTGAAATCGGGAATTTTTGATGTTTTCCTTGTGTTGTACATGCAATTTTTTATTTCTAACAACGACAAGGAGTTTCATTGTAACGATCTTACTGTCAGCGAATCCATTATGCACGTCACGCTACTCCACCTTGTAACATCATGTACGTCACGTATACTGCCGTCCTAAGGAAGAACGCCGTATGAACATTCGAGAGTTGCCAAATTTCCTTCTATAAAATGTCTATTTTTGAGAAAAGTTATGAACATTTTTCCGAGAAATTTTCAGATACTTAAGGTGAAATTACGAACAAATTTATCTGAAAAATTAGAGGGAAAATATCCATAAATTTACCAGGAAATTCCTGTTTTATCAAAGGAAACTTGGCAACGCCTGAAGGTTCATACAGCGTTTTTCCATAGCACGGTAGTATATACCCAGATCCCGATTCGTGAGAAAGGTTCAAAAAGAAGAAAAGCAGATTTGTTCGACGAGTTCGCCACCTAAAAATCCTCCACGGGTTCAGTTACGGCTCCACAGGCAGCGTGCGACGCGAATTTGGCCGCGCGAAATCAATCACGCGGTTCTGCGATAAAAGGAGGACTCGCTGCTGTCAGAGCATGGTGCATAGCATAGCAATATTTTTAAACCATCCGTTACAATAAACGTTGGAAAAAAAGTAGATACAAAATATACCAAAATTGGTCGGGACTTCCTGGGACAAAGTAAGATGATATAAAGGGCGGAAAATCTTGTTCATCTTTATTTCCCGCTACTTCTCCCTCATCTTTCTATTCATCCGTTCTCTCTTTTTCCTCTCTTTGTTCGCTGTTCCTCCTCTCTATTCTTCCTTTTACCGCGTCTTTTTTTCTTTTCTCCGTTTTACACATTCCTGATCGTGTTTCTCCTACCCTTACCTTTCATTTTACTCGTCCTCCCTCTCCCCTGCTCCCTCAATTCTTCCTCCTATTTTTCTTCTACTTTTTCTTTATCTTCCTATCCTCCTTTCTCCTCTTTTTTTAGCTCTCTTCCTTTTTTTTCTCCCTTGTTACTCATTCCTGATCGTGTTCCTTTTGTCCTTCTCTCCCCTCTCCCTCCTTCCATCTTGTTCCTCCTATGTTCCTTCCAGGTTTCCTTCCTATGTTCCTTCCCACCTTATCTTCATCTTCCTTTTCTCCTTTTCCTTCCTAGTCTTCTCTCCCTCTCTCCACTTTTCTTTTCCTCCGGTTATTCATTCCTCATCGTATTCCTTTTGTTCTTTTCTCACCTCTCCTTTCCTCACCTTCTCCCTCTCCCCCTCTTTCTTTTGTTCCTCCTATCTTTCCTCTGGGTACGTTTTCTTCATCTTCCTGTCCTTCTTTTCTTACTTAGTCCTGTCTCATTTCTCCTCCTTCTTCCCTTTCTGTTCTTCTCTCCCTTTCATTTTACTCCTCCTTCCTCACCCTTGCTCCCTCCCTTCTTCCTCCTATTTTTCTTCTACTTATTCTACGTAACTTTCTACTTTCTTCTACTTTAAGGTGGGGGTCCTTCTCTGGTTTTTCCTATTTTTCCTCTGGGTACATTTTCTTCATCTTCCTGTCCTTCTTTTCTTTCTCAGTCCTGCGTCTCATCTCCCTCCACTCATTCTTCCCTCTCTTTCTATGTCATCCCTGTTACTCATTCTTCATCGTGTTCCTCCTGTTCTTCTCTCCCCGTTCCTTTCTTTCGTTCTCCCTGTCTCCCTCCTTCTCGCGTCGCGCGCTGTCCGTGGAGCCGTGACTTCCTCCTGGCGAAGCGTGAAGCATATTTTCCAATATGGGCTTTATTGACTTGGTCGACGGGGGCGCTTTGGCTTCGGTGGAAATCCGCCTTTGATCAATTACGTCGGAGCCGTGTTTTCTTTGAGCCGAGAGGCCCAGCCCGGAGCCCGGAGTTGGGGCCGGATCCTCGAGGAAGTTGGAGGAAAGACTCTTTGTGAAATGTTCCCGGCTCGAAGAATGTTCCGCGGCGGGTGAAATTATGTTTATCCTTCCACGAGCTGGGCTCCCGAAGTTCGTCCCTATCACACGCGTCATTATAATCCCGGATCGGGAGATGTACTTCCAGTCGACGGTGTCAAATTTGCTGAACGGCGTTTCGCATCAGATTTTAATCCCTAATTCTCGAGACCGTATTCGTAGTATACTGCCGTGCTTAGGAGGAACGCCGTATGAACATTCGAGAGTTGCCAAATTTCCCCGGATAAAACATGTATTTTTGAGGAAACTGGTGCATATTTTGTATTGATATTTTAAGATATTTCAGATAAAATTGAGAACAAAACCGCCTGAAAAATTGAAAGAAAAATTTTCACAAACTTTCCCGAAAATTCTAGGTTTAACAAAGGAAATTTGGCAACGTCTAAAGGTTCATACGGCGTTCTTCCTTAGCACGGCAGTTTAACCCTTACATGTTTAAGACATTTCTCCTCGCAAAGCTCAAAATCGGGTCAAATTGTACAGTTTTTAAAGACATTGATTTTGATAGTTTTTGAATTATTACCTATGTTATTTTATGTTCCTAAAGGATAGAAATACTTTTTTTTTTTTATTATTATTATTATTTTCACCTTTTTGGTAACATGCTAAAATCTTCCCCCTTCACACCCTCGTATGTAGCTCCGCCAGCAGAGATAGTCGGGTCAATGAGACCGGCTTTTTTTGAGCGATTGTCAAGAAGAAATTCCCTGAGACGAATGGACTCTGGCTAAATACCAATTTCTAAACGTGCGCTCTTTATAGGTATCCTAGGAAACCTTTTAGACCTAAGTATCCCCCTCCTTCCCCAAATGACTATTGATTTGGACACATAGCGTGATATTTTGAGGAAACTTAACCTAAACTTTTCTCCTTATAAAATACACCTCAACGAGCGTTGTTGACAGCGCTGATACAACTATTCGTACTTGATGGATGTCCGTGTTGTATCTGAAAAATTGAAGGCGCGATGGCGCGAAACGGGAACCGGCACTGCTTCGACTTGCTCAAATTCGAGAGAAAAGTTTAAAAAGGAGGCCTTAATACGTCTCCCTCAACTTCCGCTGAGTTGACACTCGATTTTTCTTTTCTTTCTCAATTTGATCGCAGGTTCTTTTTTTACGATGGATTTGTAGGCCTATATTTGAAATTCGTATATACCGGCCCCACAAAACCCTCGAAACACGTGTTTTCCGGGTCAATTTGACCCGAGGCTTGGACATTAAGGGTTAAACAGCTCCTTTCGGCAAGGAGTCTCATATGGTTTAAATTATTATAAAGGGAGGTTCATAAGGGCAGAGCATAAATGGATTTCGTTTGGATTCGAAAAGCAAGCCACCAAATTTGACATCGATGGTTTCGAGTATCAGGCTTCAAAGCGAGCATAATTATAGAGCTTTTAGAGGGGGAAAAAATAATAAAAAAAAAGTTTGCTTTAGTATTTAGGGATTAATCACAGTGCATCATAGGATCGGCCTCGTTTACTATCCTGCCGGGCTAAGGAAAAACGCCGTATGAGCCTCCAGGTGTTGCCAAATTTCTCCAGATAAAACACGAATTTTCTGGTAAAATTATGAATATTTTCCTTCTAACTTTTCACATAATTTTGTCCGCAATTGTGCCTGAAGTTCTTGCAAATTTCAAGGAAAAATATGGATAACTTGCCTCAGAAATAAACGTTTTAAGGAAGAAAATTTGGCAACTCTCGAATGTTCATACGGCGTTCTTCCTTAGCACGGCAGTATAGCCTATAGGAATATCCTGATGACATCTTATTTTAAATGCGTTGTTGAACCCAACAAAATCTCTGACAAAAATGGCTATGGTCAATCACCCGATTTTTTTATGGTCAATTGGTCATTCAAATTTCTGCCTTCATTTAAAAAATTACAAATAGAGAACCCGGCGCCCAGTCAACGATTCAAAAGCTTGACGATTTTATGGTCATTTTGGAGAGCAGCTTTCTTCTGCCGTGCTAAGGAAGAACGCCGTATGAACCTTCGAGAGTTGCCAAATTTCCTTAGATGATAGTGTATTTTTGACGACATTCACGCGCCGTTTTCTTCGAAATTTTCTGATATTTTAGACTAAATTGCTTTCAAAACTGTCTGAAATTTGTGGAAAAAAATATGAACAATTTTCTTAGTAAATTCAGTTTTCATCGAAGAAAACCTGGCAACGTCTGAAGGCTCATACGGCGTTCTTCCTTAGCACGGCAGTCACGGTAACCGCATAAATCCATCAGATTTTAGCAACACTCATTTTATCCATCCTCGGTCATTGGTTGATTATTTCTAATGGGCATTGGTGATAGGTTTACGCGTATTTTTAGACATCACGCCCAGTCCTAAAAATGGGAGACCTTAAATTAATTGATCGAGCGTACCTAGGCTGACGGATAATGTGCACTCATTCATGACGTGTGATTGGACGACCGCTTTCTGGGCCTCTTCATGTTTCGAACAAGTATCGTAGATGAGCAGGCCTGAAAACAGACAAAAGTTATTCTATTAACGCTATTTTCTCTACAGGAAGGAAATTTTGTTGCAACCATTCTTTGTCCTTTCAAGGACATCCTGTAAAAAATCTATATAAGTATGTTAAGCGACATTCTTCATAGAATGAGAAAAGAATATCATTATTTTTAATAATAAAAAAAAAAAAAAAAAAAAAAAAAAAATCTTTTATTTAATTTATTTTCAATCATACGTACAAGAAAGCCCCATAATTGGGGAGATGGCAGAAGTCAAAAATCCAACCTTATTACCCTATCCAATTAGTAACTATATAGGATAAACAGTAATTATAATTACAGTGGGACAAGTAGTTACAAGCACGAAAGGATCATTATAAAAAATGATAATTGCAAAAATATCATTCATCTGCTGCTGACAAAAATTCTGGATGATAGCTGATAGGAAATTCCGTAGTAAATTGAAGAAAAAAGAACTTTTGAAGCGCCACAATCGCCCATGTTTAGTTTGATGTTTGATTGATAAGTAAAAAACTTTGATGTAATCAGTTTTTGACACAGTCAAGAAGTTTGACTGTTTCATTTTTACTTGTTTCCGATTTGATCTAAACTCCCTTTGATCTTACATAAGTTGTTTGGCTTACTTACCTACGTCAACTCCAGGAATGTATTGAATGTCATTAAGCAGCCGGATTGTGTGTATAGCTGACGTCATCATGGCAAAACCATTTTCGTTAACCTGACTGCAGTTCGCTCCGTGATGAATGTCGAATATCCCTGGGAAAAAATTCAGTTAAATTTCATCTTTACGTTAGAATCAGAGGCGGATCAAGCAATTTGGCAACATCGGATTTCCTCCATTTAAACCTATATTAAATAATCAATTCTTGCCAGAGCACCTGGCCCCGTCAAGAATCGATACGTTTTCATAGGTTTAAATGGGGAAAGCAATATTGCCAATTTGCTGGATCCACCAATGGTTAGAATGTTTGGAAGAATGTCTTGAATGTTTGAAGAATGACACTCATGTTTGGTGGTGGACCTTTGGATGTGTGTGATTCTTAAAGCTGCATGTATCATATTTCTAATTATCTTTGCGACTCGACATCATTAAGTTTCAATTATGGTTGGAACTGAAATTATTGGTAATATCGTTCTGTACTGAACGAATCCTTTGCATCAAGATGCGTCATACCTAAGTGGCCGCACAGTATCACCTGGTCATAACGAAATCTCCTTAACTGGACCATCTCTCTCGGAAAACATCTAGGGGCCTCTTTGCAGTGAGAAAATCACATTTTTGAGCTATTTGGTGGGGGCATAGGGGTCACGGTGCAGCCGGTTTTAAGGCGCCGCGAGCAGCAAAATTATCATTTTTAATACGCTCTCATCGAATTCAAAATAGGGTTTTCGAAGTTAAAAAGGCAAACACTGTCCCGCAAAAAATAATATACAATATTTGTTTTAGCACTTTAAAACAATTTTTGACCATTTACACTAATGCCAAAATTACTCAAGCCGAGGGCAAAATTAGTGAATAAATTTGATTCTGTGCTTTCGAAAAAAGGAGGGCTCCGCGGCAAACTATAAAGACTTAACTTTGCAAGTTCTTTCGCCACTTCTCTTTTGGGACCAAACGAATTGGCAAAAAACACTAGGGAGTTCCACTGACATGCTAAGATAAAACGCTGTATGAACATTCTAATTTTGTCCCATTTTCCCTGATAAAATGTTTATTCTTACAAAAAGTTTTGAATATTTTCTCTTTAAATATTCAGATAATTTAGATCTGGTCGTGAATAAAATTCTCTGAGAAATTCAAAGAAAATGCTCACTGCTTTCTCTGAAAATTTGTTTTTTATCAACAGAAATTTAAGAACATCTGAAGGCTTATTCGACATTCTCTCGAAGTAGAAGCACGGCGCAGCAGTGCTCTTTTCGATTTTTTTTTTTTATTTATTTATTTTTTTTTCAACCCTCGTATTCGTTCTTGCTAATCATTGTTTTCACAAGAATAACTGACCCATTACCCAAGTATCAATTCTCAACGGAAATATCGCTATATATTGCGATTTTATCGGCGATAAAATTGCCAGGATCATCAACATTAGCGAGCGATTATGCTCGATCTTATCGCAATAAAAAATCGCGCTTTTATTGCCCGAAAATTTATCGCGACATATTCGAAATAAAAATCGCGATCAATGCGGCGATTTAATCTCGATTTTATCGAGAAAAATTGATCATGATTTGATCGAACCAAAAATTGCGATCTGTAGCAATTTAATCGCCATATATCGTAATTTTTAATGCGATAATATCTCGATATATTCGTCGTCTCCCGGACGAAGGAACGTAACTCCATTCCAAGGTTGCCAAATTGACTACAACAATTAACCCATTTTACAAAAATGTACCTGTGAAATTTCGATCCAAAATTGTCTGATTTTAGAATGGAGTCTGAGGAAAAATCTGTAAATTTTTCAATTGAAAATGCCCAAGATTCTCTTAATTATTTATTACTCAATTTGCGAGGAGGAATTTGGCAACATTGAATTGGAGTTACGTTCTTTCGTGAGAGAAACGACGTATTGTCACTGATATAATCGCGATAAGCAACTGATAAAATCGCTATTTATCGCGATCACTGCTACTCGGGATAATGAGGTCGAATCCAGCTAGAGGCTGAATACCCCGTGTTGGCTTACCTGTGACGGTGTAGGTACCAGGGATGTGGTGGAAAGGCGGGGCGATTGCGCAGTCATCCTCACTCCCGGTGGTTGCGGCGCACGCCAGCGCGAGGGCGAGGAGGGCTCCCCACGGCGCCTTCACTCCGGCGGTCATGCCGCCCGCACTGCAACAGATACGTCACGCGTTAGCGCCACTCTCGCTTTCTCGCCTCCGTGCACCGTGACGTGACACAAAGGGATGCGTAATATCATCGTTATTCTGACGTAAGGCCCTAACTCATATACGATGAGCCCTATAGTCCGTTTAACTACGTGCTTTCTGCGGCTCGATTGGAAATGTAGGTGCGCTATTACGTCACAAGAGCAACGATACGTCACGCCGGCCGGCTTCGGAGCGTGCGCGAGGTAAGTGAAACTTGGAGGACTCTCTTCGAGAGGTGAAGTGAATGCATGTTTACGAAACGGCGTGGATTACTGCCGTGCTAAGGAGGAACGCCGTATGAACATTCGAGGGTTGCCAAATTTCCTTTAATAAAATGCTTATTTTTGAGGAAATTTATGGATATCTTTCCCTGTAATTTTCAGGCACTTTGGATAAAATTGCGAATTAAATTATTTGAAAAATTGGAAGAAAAATATTCATAAGCTTACTGGGAAAGTCGTGATTTATCTAAGGCAATGTGGCAATGCCTGAAGGTTCATACGGCGCGGCGTTCTTCCTTAGCTCGGCAGAAGGGGTTCGGTGTTTGACCCGAATTTCACCAACTCGAAGGACTCCTAGCATACATTAGACTACCTATGAGAGTACGGACAGTAATAGTTTCTTATTTCAAAATGTAATTTAATTATATTTAGTCTTTCTAATTCTGCTACCGGGCTGAAAGTTCCGGCTCAGATTGTTCGCGGGGATTCCATTTCCAAACACTCCGAATAACCGCACCTACAACACCTCGTAATTATTCAAATGTTGCCTACCCTCCCCCCCCCCCCAAAAAAAAAAAATACTGATATTTGAAGAGAGTTATGAATATTGAAGAAGTAGAGGAGTAAGAAAACTATTGAAATACTGGGGAGTTAAAGCTTTTTTCAGGGGGTTAAAAACTTTATTAGTTTGTAAGGCATTTGATTCTCTAAGTGATTTTTATGATGAAGTTTACAAAGTAAATTTTGGGGGGTTTTCACTGAAAAGTATGCTTGAACACAACGTTCATGTCATTTTTGTACACTAATGTAAAAAAACTAAATATAATATATATTTTTCCTTGAAAATTTAAGGGCACCCACGGTTGAATTACGGATAAAATTCTCTGAATAGATTAGAAGAGTAGCACTCCAAGCCTATACGCTTCATAGCGCAAGGCAGCTATTTCTACTGGCTGTACTTCTGCCTTAGTAAGGAAAGTAGCAAACCGGACGTTGCCAAATATCTCCGACAAAACATTTATTTTTAAGACCTTTCATCGTCTAGAGTAACCTTGGAGCCTTCAATTCTTCGGAATGCAACATGGATGCCAATAGAGCACGAATAATTGCTTCAAGGCATTACTACCGACTGAATTGATTGCGCACGATGCATCCGACTGAGGTGTAGGTGCATTGAACTCCGATTGGTTTGATGTACTGCCGTGCGAAGAAAACGACTGAGAAAAAAACGTCATATGAGGAATCGAATGTTGCCAAATTCCTCTCAGAAAATATTTATTTTTGTAGAAAGTCATAATATTTGTCCTTTAAATTTTCAGGTGTCTCAGATGAAAGTGCGAACCAAATTCTCTGAAAAATCGAAGGAAAAATACTTGCAAATTTTCCCGAAAATGTGTTTTCTGTGAGTGGAAATTTGGCAACGTTTTGAGGTTTATACGTCGTTCCTCCTCGCCACGTCAGGCTTTCTCTAGTGCGGATTCCCCGCACTAAATCTCATTCAAAAAGCCAATGGCGTTTGCGATATATCGATTGATCTGCCATTTAAACCTATAAAAAAGGATCGACAGACACGGTGTTCGCAACGAACACCCCTAATCATCGATTCTTTACCATAGTTTCAAATACGGAAATATCGATAATCGATCTTCACTTCTCGCCATTGCAAAAGACTCTACGTTGGATCCGACACTGCCGTGCTAAGGAAGAACGCCGTATGAGCCTTCAGGCGTTGCCAAATTTCCTTTGATAAAACACTAATTTCCTGGTAAACTTATGAATATTTTCCTTCCAATTTTTCAGATGACTTTATTCGCAATTTTACCTGAAGTTCCTGAAACTTTCAAGGAAAAATATGCATAACCTTTCGCAAAAATAAGCATTTATCGAAGGAAATTTGGCAACTCTCGAATGTTCATACAGCGTTCTTCCTTAGCAGGGCAGAAAAGTGGTCACTCGCGTCAAGAAAAACCACGAGCCCGCTTATAGGGGTTGATCGGCAGGCATCACCGCCGGGGGTCAGTCGCCGTGCGTGGGAACCGGCGTTGGGGAGGGGGAGGGGGGGCTTTTCGGCAACCCTTGAATAATTGACCTGACGGGAGGGGCGTGAGGGGGCGGAGGAGGGGCTCGGACAGAGAACAGGTGAGTCATGGAGGGTGGCGCGCGACTGACGGCACACTCGCAACCTTTCGTTTTCCGGGCCACCCCCCGCCGCCCGCAGCCCCTGGATCGCCCGCAACCCTCGCAACAACCCGCGACGTCCCCTCTAGCGCTCATGCCTCATTGTGCTTCGATAGTCGCTGATTTTTCGTCGATAACTTGGCCAAGTGCATCCTCACTACAGATTTGCATTGCGGATCCACTGTTCTGTCGTGCGTTTTGTCCTCGGTGGACAAAATTAAAAAAAATCACAACTCGACATCTGAATATCGTTTTCGGAGTTTGTCATCTCAAGGATGTTTCTGAGTCACGATGATGGTTCATTTTCAAATTTTTCGCTCAAAACTACTTTAAGGTCGAGCAGAAAGTGGGCGGAAAGTGGGTCGAGAATCACTGGTCCATAAGAAATACACGGGAAAAAGACGTCAACGTCGTATGAAGATTTCTCGCTTGAAAGGCAAAATGCTGTGGGTGGTTGACGTTTTCTTAACGCTCGTATATCCAACTTCACTCCTACCAAAGAGATCTTGCGACTTTTTGCGGCTACCGGAGATATTTGAAGTTAAAGTTTGGGTGTTTCACGTTGGTTGCTTTTACATTGTTAACACAGGGCTAATTCTAGGTTGCCAACTTAGAATGAACTTTTCTCGAAAAATACGCAAAAAATCCTGTGAGATATAACATTTTCTTACACCTCGAGTGTTTTATTTTGATGGTGCCAAAGGGTTTTTCTACATCGGTGCTACTATTTTCATTATTAAAAGTAAAGTGTCTTTTACCGATTTTTGTCCGCATCGTCCATAAGGATGACTCACTGTGCGACGGTTGCGATTCCAGCAAGTTGGCAATGCGGTTTTTTCTCCATTTGAATTCATTAAAAAAAATCGATATTAGGTTAGGCACGCTGATAAAAATTGGCAATACGAGCTCCGTTTCAAAATACCATAGGAGTTCTTATAGCCGACTAAAGAAGGCTATTGAAAATCATATACCCGGCTGTAGAAAGCGGAGTAAATCATATAGCCAGGCTATGCGAAGCTATAAAAAAGTATACAGTCGGGCTATAGTTCCTATCGCCGGGCTTTACACTTTATCGCCATTGGCTATAAAAGGCTATAAGAAATTGTGTAGAAATTCGTGTGCTTTAGAAATCATTAAGTTTGATACGGAACTACCTTAATATTTTTTCATCAATTAAAATGAAATGGCCCATACAGATGAGTGTGCAAACATTTCAAAATCATTAGTTGAAAAACGCTGACTCCGCGAGATTAAATATTAGAGCCTAACACAAAGCGAAGCGGCGACGCATTTGGTGCCTACAAACCTAACAGGGATACTTCACGCATTGCGCGGCGACGCACTGGTGCCTACAAACCTAACAGGGATACTTCACGCATTGCGCGGCGCCAATGCGCGTTTCGCGTTCTCTGCCCGCCCGCCGCGCTGCAGCGTGCCACGGCGTCTGAAGCAACTATTTCACACCAGAGGTATTGCACAGTATCATAAGAAATTGAAGACGCTCCAACATATTAAGAATGACAGGCATCCTTCAAAAGTACGGAGCTTTCCTCGCAAAATAAATCAAGATACCACGGCGCAAAAAGAGATCGGTAGTCCAAAAACTAACTAAGTCCTAGTATCCGTATTTAGTGACGTTTAGCATAAACTTTATCGTCTGGCTGTTGCTTAATCGCCATCGGCTATAAAAGGCTATAAGGAATTGTACAGCCGGCTACAGAAGCTATTGGAAATCTTACAGCCGGCTTTAGGTCTAAAGTATTTTGGAACACACATTCTACTGCCAATTTTTACCAGGGCACGCTGCCTCACCAAGAGTCGATTGTTTAACATACATTGAAATGGAGAAAAATAGAGTTGCCAACTTACGAGAATCGCCACTAGTTACCGATGAGAGCAATAAGTGACAAAAAGAACCACATTCTGCAACTGGAAAATACAATTTCTGGCTTATCTGTAAAAACTTTTATGTGTTTTTAGGGAAACTAATGGGTACGTTCGTTTATTCTAAACGAATCCAGAAATGGTAGTTCTTAATTGCAAAATGCGCAGTCTCTGCAGTGTCTGCAGTGCTCGAAATTTTCTAGCGACTACTAATTGCTTGGAACCAGGGTTGCCGCAGAATTTAGAAAATGAAACTCCCTGCCATTTCCCTGATGCCCCTGACAAATTTTGGTGAAATACCCTGATACTTGAAGATACGCCTGGTGGTTAAAAAGACATAATTACTAACAATTTTCAGGAAAAATTTGTTATTTGAAACATCAAACCCATCCTAAAAATCAACTAAAGGTAACTTAATAATTTTTCTCTAAAATTTTCGTCAATTACCGGAACATTTCCGGGTTTTCCTAGACTTCTTAAAAATCTCTGACATTTCCCGATTGTCTCGAAATTCCCTGACTAATGCAATTCTGTTGGACCGTATCTAAAATTGACGGCGAGACAAGTAAACAAAAACAAAATTTGCAAATATTTCAACTTATATCAACTAAGAAAAGTTAACCACTTTTGGGGCCCAGGCAGTCCCATATGACCTGCAATGACTATATGGACCAATCAG